AATTGGGTAGAATGGGCTTGTGGTAATAGCTGGAGCGGAATTGGTGGAATGGTACCAAACACATCAAACACATGCCATTCCATTGACTCCATTCCAGCCATTATTATGAGCCGTCCTCCCCTCAGTAGCCTCCACTGGTGTGTGTGTGTATTGGGGAGGGGGGGTAGGTAGTGGTAGGCCATGGTGAAGAGGTGGGTTTTTAGGTGGAACTGATAGATGGTGAAGACTCCGTCAGGGATGGTTGTGGAGTTCTAGAGCCTCAGCACAACCCTGGAGAAGGTCTTGTTATCAAAGCTCTGGCCCTTGGGAAGAAAAGGTGACCTGTTATGATCGGGGCCGGTTCCAGGCATTAGAGACATAACATCAGTCAGGGTCTCAACTTACTATTGCGAGTAAGAATAGTAGAATACACAAGGTGCAATTTCGAAATTTGGTTGTACATCAGCAGTTTTCCTCTTGTTACAGTGAGGGAAAAAAGTATTTGCTGATTTTGTACGTTTGCCCACTGACGAAGACATGATCAATCTATAATTTTAATGGTAGGTTTATTTGAACAGTGAGAGACAGAAAAACAACAAAAAAATCCAGAAAAACGCATGTCAAAAATGTTATAAATTGATTTGCATTTTAATGTGGGAAATAAGTATTTGACCCCTCTCAATCAGAAAGATTTCTGGCTCCCAGGTGTCTTTTATACAGGTAACGAGCTGAGATTAGGAGCACACTCTTAAAGGGAGTGCTCCTAATCTCAGTTTGTTACCTGTATAAAAGACACCTGTTCACAGAAGCAATCAATCAATCAGATTCCAAACTCTCCACCATGGCCAAGACCAAAGAGCTCTCCAAGGATGTCAGGGAAAAGATTGTAGACCTACACAAGGCTGGAATGGGCTACAAGACCATCGCCAAGCAGCTTGGTGAGAAGGTGACAACAGTTGGTGCGATTATTCGCAAATGGAAGAAACACAAAATAACTGTCAATCTCCCTCGGCCTGGGGCTCCATGCAAGATATCACCTCGTGAAGTTGCAATGATCATGAGAACGGTGAGGAATCAGCCCAAAACTACACGGGAGGATCTTGTCAATGATCTCAAGGCAGCTGGGACCATAGTCACCAAGAAAACAATTGGTAACACACTACGCCGTGAAGGACTGAAATCCTGCAGCGCCCGCAAGGTCCCCCTGCTCAAGAAAGCACATATACATGCCCGTCTGAAGTTTGCCAATGAACATCTGAATGATTCAGAGGAGAACTGGGTGAAAGTGTTGTGGTCAGATGAGACCAAAATCAAGCTCTTTGGCATCAACTCAATTCGCCGTGTTTGGAGGAGGAGGAATGCTGCCTATGACCCCAAGAACACCATCCCCACCGTCAAACATGGAGGTGGAAACATTATGCTTTGGGGGTGTTTTTCTGCTAAGGGGACAGGACAACTTCACCGCATCAAAGGGACGATGGACGGGGCCATGTACCGTCAAATCTTGGGTGAGAACCATTGAAAATGGGTCGTGGATGGGTATTCCAGCATGACAATGACCCAAAACACATGGCCAAGGCAACAAAGGAGTGGCTCAAGAAGAAGCACATTAAGGTCCTGGAGTGGCCTAGCCAGTCTCCAGACCTTAATCCCATAGAAAATCTGTGGAGGGAGCTGAAGGTTCGAGTTGCCAAACGTCAGCCTCGAAACCTTAATGACTTGGAGAAGATCTGCAAAGAGGAGTGGGACAAAATCCCTCCTGAGATGTGTGCAAACCTGGTGGCCAACTACAAGAAACGTCTGTGATTGCCAACAAGGGTTTTGCCACCAAGTACTGAGTCATGTTTTGCAGAGGGGTCAAATACTTATTTCCCTCATTAAAATGCAAATCAATTTATAACATTTTTGACATGCATTTGTCTGGATTTTTTTGTTGTTATTCTGTCTCCTGAGTGGCGCAGTGGTCTAAGTACTAAGTACTTGTTATCCTGTACTCCTGAGTGGCGCAGTGGTCTAAGGCACTGCATCGCAGTGCTAACTGTGCCACTAGAGATCCTGGTTCGAATCCAGGCTCTGTTGCAGCCGGCCGCGACCGGGAGACTCATGGGCGGCGCACAATTGGTCCAGGGTAGGGGAGGGAATGGCTGGCAGGGATGTAGCTCAGTTGATAGAGCATGGCGTTTGCAACGCCAGGGTTGTGGGTTCGATTCCTCTAACTGTAAGTCGCTCTGGATAAGAGCGTCTGCTAAATGACTAAAAGTGTAAATGTCTCTCACTGTTAAAAAAAACCTACCATTAAAATTATAGACTGATCATGTCTTTGTCAGTGGGCAAATGTACAAAATCAGCAGGGGATCAAATACTTTTTCCCCTCACTGTATGTCTGTCAGTGACAGTCACTCAATTAGCCATGTCAGCTAATAATTTTTTGAGTGGTAGTTAGTCTTGCCAGATATCTAAACTTGTAGTAATCATGGCCAAATACCGACCGGGCACACAGGGCACATTCCCAGAGGCCCTGACCTCCAGGAGGCCCCCATTGGTTTTGTTAGTCACTCTCGCTCAGATATCATATTAACATGGCATAAGTCATTACAAAATGTGTAGAATTGTAGGAAATTAGCTTTAAAACCTCAAAAATGTCTCTCCACCCCATGGCAAAAATGGTAGAATTGCAGAAAATCTGCTGTTAAACTGCAAAATAACATCTCTGCCCCATGGAAAAAGAATTGCATGAAATGTTTTATAAAATTGCAAAGTTTTACTTTAAAATGTAAATTTCTCTCCAACGTTAAGGGAGGGGCCACTAAAATGTTTTGCTGCGAGGCGGGCGGCCCCCCAACCAAATCTCGCTCAGGACCCACAAAAGGCTAGAGCCTTTAGGGGGCTGTGATTGATCAATGATCTGAGTCATTTTCTTCTGTTCTCTGCTGTAGGAGCATTGATAGGAACACAAAGCTAACAGGGTACCGATGATTTGATCTGAAAGAAAATAAGCTGTCATGATTTATTACCCAGAATACTACAGTACTTACTATAGAATTCTGTAGAAAACTGTAGTATACTGTAGAATACTATACTACACACAGTAGTATACCTCGATCATGTATAGTACTTACTATAGAATGTTGTAGTATACTGTAGAATACTATAGTAATTACTATAGTATTCTACAGTCCGCAAAAACACTACAGTAATTACTATAATAATAACCACAATTTTTTTCATACTACAGTATTTATACTATACTAAACTGTAAATACTACAGTATACTACAGTCATATCTGCAAAACTATAGTAAATACTAGTGTTCACTGCAGTATTTATTATATTGAATACCACAGTAAAGTCTGCAAAAACACTACAGTGAATACTATAGTATCATCCATACATTCTTTCTATCCCGCTATGCCTATCATTTATAAAAAATATTATCATCATCAACAACAGTTTCCTCTCTGTTGGTGAGTCTAATGGAAGTAAAGCTTCTAGACAGAAACAATCTGTGTCCCATTGCTTTTAAGTGTTTACTAGCTACTAACATCCTCCTGAGGCACGAGAGGCGGGGCTGGCCAATTCTAGCTACTGACGTTTCTGTCGACTATCAACATGCAAAGCGCATCTAGGCATTTAAGGCCAAGATCTCATTTGTACCAAACACTGTACCCCTAATCATGTTTGTCCACTGATCACAGCATATAATGTAATCAAGAATTACACAGCATGGAAAATGGCTGCTCCCTGAGCCTCATTTCATTGGCCGTAACTCTATCGTCACAAAGAGATGAGAGAGAAGGTAGCAGAAAAACAAGAGAAACAGACAAGGCAGGAGCAGTGAAGGAGGAGTGATGGGTGTTATCTGTGTTTGTTCAGACTCGTTCCGTTTTCTCCCTCCCTCCCAGGCCTTTGTTAAGTGTGTGAGAGTGTGAAAGGTCCTTTAATAAGACACTGCACTGCAGGGGTGTTGCCAGGCCCCCTTAACCCCAAAATAAGATATAGAACAAAGAAATACAAAAACAACCCAGAATATAAACTGAAGGGAAAAACAACCCAGAATATAAACTGAAGAGGTAAAAACAACCCAGAATGAAGGGGTAAAAACAACCCATAATATAAAGTGAAGGGGTTAAAAACAACCCATAATATAAAGTGAAGGGGTAAAAAGAGACAATGCCTTGTGGAGAAGAGAAGATCATCTGACATGACAGGGAGTTGACTGTCTATTTGAAGAATGTATATTTATTTATCTCTGCTATTTGCATCCTGTTGTGCCATTGAGTTAATAATAATAATAATAATAATAATAATAATATGCCAGATTAAATCATAGTGTAGATTCACCTGATGCAGCCTACTTGATAGAGGGAGGGAGCATCTGGGTGTGCTATGTTGAAATTAATTAAGATGTTTTAATTCCATCAGACTTAATTAGTGTTCTGCATAAACCACTGCGTTTACACTGAGCTAACAGGCCTGACTTCATCTCAGTCTCTGACTGACATATCAATTACCAAAGCCTTTGGGATGCACCTGCACTAAAAGGGTGGCTTTAGGGGCTGACAAAAATCCATAGACACACATTCTAAATGCCACACACACAGGCACATATGCACACACACACACACACACACACACACACACACACACACATTCACATGGACTTACACACCTACATTCTCACAGGCACACACAAAGGCACACACACAGACACATTATCAGACAGACACATTATCAGACAGACACATTATCAGACAGACACATTATCAGACAGACACATTATCAGACAGACACATTATCAGACAGACACACAAAGACATGCAGTCACTCTTGCACACAGGTACAGCAGAACCTATTTACTCCGGATTCCATCCTAGTCCATGTGGATTATTCAATGCACTGAGACTTGGATCAAGGAGGCAAGGAGACAGAGCATGTTTGTCCCACTACCTACCTGTGAAGACACATCCACTACAGTATACTGAGTGTTACTGCTTTGTGTCCCTTGCTGCCTGTGTCTGCAGATCATGTGGTTTGTGAAGAGGAGTTTAAGTATGCCATGCTGGCCCTGAACTGTGTGTGTCCTGCTACCTCCACCCTCATCACCCTATTGATCCACTCCTCTAGAGGACAGTGAGTACACACACACACACACACACACACACACACTTTCTCCCATGGGCGTGGGTGGTACCAGACAGAGGCAGTGAAGTATGTCCTTTGACCTAACAGATGCTGTGTACATTGAGCTGTACACAGCAGATTAATCATGGTAGATAGACTACTGACCTACCAGACCAGTCATGAGCCTCTATCTGCTGCCCCCCCCCCCCCCTTTCAGAACAGCGTCCCCAGAGGCCTTCAGGCAACGTGCAGGAGCCTTCCAGCCCCTTAACAGGTCAGTGTGTGTCACTGTCCTCCTAAACCACCGACAACCCCCTCCCCCCCCTTCCGTATCCCTGATGTGCGGTGACATTAACTCAGTCAGGCATGCTGTCCCCATGTAACTGTCCATTTATTATTTACAGCCGACAGTTGTTTCTGTAATGCAGTCCTTCTCACATCACCGCCCACGCACAGCCACACTCTCCGTTCCGTCCCGCACCCTTCTATTTCTCACCTCCTGTCTCTCAATTCATCCTTTCTAAAGGCTGTCAAAGTGAACACAGCCCATGTGTATTGCTCTGATAGTGTCTGTGTCCCTGTATGTGTCTGAGTACTGGCTAAACTTGATTGGTTTCTGACACGGTTGTAAATCGTTAACACTGCAGCCTTGAGGGGAAGTGTCTTTGATGTGAGGTTGATGCTGAAAGGAAAGCTGTGTACACCACTGTTTAAAAGGTCAACTCTGTCCCCTCATGACCAATTAATTCCCTGATCATGTCTCAGGGAGGGCGGGACCTGCTCGGCTGACCAGTGGCAGCGCACCTACCGCCGCTGCTCGGCCAATGAGGTGCATCACATTTGCCTGGAGGAGAGTAAGTTCTTTGGGGAGTACCAGGGGAAGAGTTTCACCTTCGCCTCCTTCCACGCACACAAGAAGTGAGTCAATAAGCAGACACACACAAGCACACGCACGCACACACACACACACACACACACACACACACACACACACACACACACACACACACACACACACACACACACACACACACACACACACACACACACCACACACATTTTAAATTTTTGTCATTTAGCAGATGCTCTTAACCACACACACCTACACACACACACACTTCCTGTGTCTGATCCTCTCCTCCTCGGTCAGGTATGGTGTGTGTCTGATCGGAGTGCGGAGGTTGGACAATGCCAACATCCTGCTGAACCCAGGTCCCTGCCACATCATGGGCGGCTCTGACACCTGCTTCTACATCAACATCTCCAAGGAGGAGAACTCAGCTTTCGTCAGGGGCCACAGAGAGCCCACGCGGGGGGGGCCCAAGGGCAGTGACAGGGGGGTGGGGCCCCAGACCATCTACCATGGACTCACCAGACTGCCTGTCCACAGCATCATCGCCAGCATGGGTCAGTCAGTCTCACTGAGACACAGTTAAACTCAGATCCTTTGTCTAGCATAATGTTTCTTAATATACAATTCTGACTCACTGTCATCACCACTGTGAATATTTCCTGATCCATGTACATGGCACAGATTAGGCACAGATATGTTTTACATTTAGATCCACAATAGGCAGATGTAAGAAGCCTAACAGTTGTATGAGGAATAAAACGGTATCTGATTGTATGTCTCTGAGTGAAATGTCAGATGTAAATATATCTGGCATTTAGGTTTCCTTTTGTTTTAGAGACGTTTTACAACCACACCACCTGGTGGGGAGCACTGGGATTTCTGGTTCTCAAAGATTGAAAGTAAAAACGTTCCCTAGAACAAACACAGACACGGATGCAAACATAGCACACAGGGCAAGCACAGATCCAGAATCAGTACTATTTGGCTTTGTGAGAGAACAATGGTACTCCCAGTCACAGCACATTGGTACTCTCACAAAGCCAAATAGTACTGATTCTGGATCTGTGCTTGCCCTGTGTGCTTAATTTGCATCTGTATCTGTGTTTGTTATAGGGCACATTTTCACTTTAGCCTATGCTTGTATGGACAGGACAGTGCTATAACTGTTTTCTACTAAGGGTGTGGACTGGTCATTGACAGTATGTGTGATTGTATGTGTCCTCTGTCCCCCGTAGGCACGGTGGCTATTGACCTGCAGGACTCCAGTGACAGCAGCCCAGAGGGCCAGGGCCCAGGGGATATGACCATGGGCAGTGGGGGAGGTGGCAGGGCCAGCCGGGTAGAGGGGGGGCTGGGGGGCGCTAACACCCTGGCCCTCCCAGCCACAGCAGACTCTGCTGAGGAGAGACGCCACAGCATCGCCCCTGTCCTGGAGCTGGTGGACGGGGTCAACTCAGCAACCTTCGACCTGCTGGGGGACCAATCAGAGGACGAGGGCGGGGACGAGGGGAAGGAGGAGGGGGACGGAGATGAGAAGGGCCAGTGGGGGGTTGGACACTGCCAGTAAGTATTTAGGAATTGCCGGGGGTCTAATGTGTGTTTGAATTAGTTTATTTGAGTCCTGCTATGTTGTGTCCTCAGACCCAGGTGTAAATGTGTTTGTGTGTTTCTGTCTGTCTTTGTGTGTGTGTGTGTGTGTGTGTGTGTGTGTGTGTGTGTGTGTGTGTGTGTGTGTGTGTGTGTGTGTGTGTGTGTGTGTGTGTGTGTGTGCGTGTGCGTGTGTGTGCGTGCGTGCGTGCGTGCATGTGGCAGGTGGGTGAAGGGGTACCCGCTGAACTCTCCGTACATTGGCAGTTCCCCTGCCTTGTGTCACCTGCTGCAGGAAAAAATGCCCTTCTGCTGTCTGCGCCTGGACAAGGTGGGAATCAGTCTACTTCTGGCTTACTTACCCTCAACTAGAACCATCCTACCTCTCTACCTACCTCCTCTTTGATGATGATGATGATGACCTTCATGTAATCCATTAGAATTCATTTTCGGTGTCATCTCCCTCTCCTATAGGCCTGCCACCACATCCCGTTTGAGGACGCTCGGTCCTACGGCTTTAAGAACAAGCTGATCATCGTGTCGGCGGAGAGTGCAGGAAACGGCCTATACAACTTTATCGCGCCCCTGAGGGCTTACTACCGCCCCAGGAAAGAGCTCAACCCCATTGTGTTGCTACTGGAGACCATGTGAGTGGAAACAGACACACTGCAGGAAACCATAGAATAACAGATCTAGAACATTGTAAGTCTCTATGGTGTGATCACACTGCAGGTGGAGCATAAAGAAGGGGCCGTCTTATAGGATGGTCTCATTTTAAGATTTCCATTAACATAATTTACTGTATAAAAATGTCTATGTTTCAAGAGTTTATGTGCACTCTGCAGTGCACTGTGCGCATAATATGAAATATAACTGTGGTTTCTCCAGGTGCGCAACCCCAATATGGGCATATTAAAGTGGAATCCAATAAAAGGCCAATAAAAAGCTGAGTCATGGCCATGTAGTGGTTTGCAATCCCACTGTTCTCTGCACACAGCAGCCAGACTTTAGATTTCTCTTGCTGATTGGGGGTTCTCTAGTAACCTGTGTCACAGATCTGTTTGTGCTGTCTTGCCAACTCCTATGGTGATTAGCGCATGACAATAATAATAAAAATAATAGCATAGGACCATCATAAGAGATAATGGGAGTTACAGGAGTTGGCAAGACAGCACAAACAGATCTGGGACTCAGGCTACTTCTCTATCTCTACCACTGCAGGGAGCCTGTCTGTTTGTTATGGTAGCTATACGTTTGTGCTGTATGTAATCCATATGTGTTGTGATTGATTCAGACCTGAGCCAGACTTCCTGGAGGCTATCTGCTGGTTCCCCATGGTGTTCTACACAGTGGGCTCCATTGACAAGTAAGAGAATCCTCCTCAGTACCCTCGTGGCATCACTCTGCTTTGCTTTTCACTCCTACTTCTAATTCATACTTTAGCATCTACATTCCCCTGATTGACTTTGTTTTGTACGGTGTATTGCATCAGTTTGTCATTCCCGCTCTCTGCTCACTGCTATTTCTCTGTATATCCACAGCGTCAGTTCTGTTCCAATCTTTCTCTATCTCTCTCTCTCTTTCCCCTTCTCTCTTTCCCCCTCTAGCCTGGACAGTCTGCTGCGTTGTGGAGTGACGTTTGCTGACACCATGGTGGTGGTTGATAAAGAGAGCTCCATGATTGCTGAGGAGGACTACATGGCAGACGCCAAGACCATAGTCAACGTCCAGACCCTCTTTAGGTTGGCTGCTCAACCATACACAACCATTACACAACCATTACACATCCTTCACACAACCATACCCAACCATACCATCCTGCAGAATCCAACATTCCTGTGTACAGTCTACACATGGTTCAGTTGTTCGTGTGCATTCATAGATATCTGCATTCAGCAAGCATTCTTGATTGTGTCTCTTTCATCTGTCCTCCCAGACTGTTCCCAGCCCTCAGCATCATTACTGAGCTCACCCACCCAGCCAACATGCGCTTCATGCAGTTCAAAGTCAAAGACCACTACTCCCTGGCTCTCTCCAAGCTGGAGAAGGTAACATTGTATTATCGTACTCTCTCTGATGAGTCGGACCATCCTAGTCAGACCATCTAATGATGGGTCATGTTGGAAAGTCAAAAGGAAGTGGTACTCCATTAATGTAATGCTTTTACATTTCCCCCTCTCTCTCCCTGTCTCTCTCTCTCCCTGTCTCTCTCTCTCCCTGTCTCTCTCTCCCTGTCTCTCTCTCTCACTGTCTCTCTCCCTGTCTCTCTCTCTCCCTGTCTTTCTCTCCCTGTCTCTCTCTCTCCCTGTCGCTCTCTCTCGTCTCTCTCTCTCCCTGTCTCTCCCTGTCTCTCTCACTCCCTGTCTCTCTCGCTCCCTGTCTCTCTCTCTCCCTGTCTCTCTCTCTCTCACTGTCTCTCTCTCCCTGTCTCTCTCTCCCTGTCTCTCTCTCCACGTCTCTCTCTTCCTGTCTCTCTCTCTCCCTGTCTTTCTCTCCCTGTTTCTCTCTCCCTGTCTCTCTCTCCGTCTCTCTCTCTCCGTCTCTCTCACTCCCTGTCTCTCTCGCTCCCTGTCTCTCTCTCTCCCTGTCTCTCTCTCCCTGTCTCTCTCTCCCTGTCTCTCTCTCCCTGTCTCTCTCTCCCTGTCTCTCTCTCCCTGTCTCTCTCTCCCTGTTTCTCTCTCTCCCTGTCTCTCTCTCCCTGTTTCTCTCTCTCCCTGTCTCTCTCTCTCCCTGTCTCTCTCTCTTCCTGTCTCTCTCGCTCCCTGTCTCGCTCTCTCCCTGTCTCTCTCGCTCCTTGTCTCTCTCTCCCTGTCTCTCTCTCCTTGTCTCTCTCTCTCTCCCTCTCTCTCTCTCTCCCTGTCTCTCTCTCCCTGTTTCCTTCTTCCTGTGTATGGTGATCTTATAGAAAGAGAGAGAGGGGGGCTCCAACCTGGTCTTCATGTTTCGTCTACCCTTCGCTGCGGGGAAGGTGTTCAGTGTCAGTATGCTGGATACTCTACTGTATCAGGTTAGTCCAAATTCTCACCCCAGCCCAGCAACGCTCCATATCTCCAAACTCAGTCTACAATATTTGTATTGCCCCTTAATTGATCAATGACCCTCTGTTGTTTGTTCCCACCAGTCCTTTGTGAAGGATTACATGATTTCCATCACGAGACTGTTGCTGGGACTAGACTCCATGCCTGGCTCAGGCTTCCTCTGTGCTGTGAGTATACAGTATACAGCCCTGCTTAGATGGTACTGAGGTTGAAAGGACATTAGTGTAGATGCCTGGTACTGAGGTTGAAGGGACATTAGTGTAGATGCCTGGTACTGAGGTTGAAGGGACATTAGGGTAGATGCCTGGTACTGAGGTTGAAGGGACATTAATGTTGCTGCCTGGTACTGAGATTGAAGGGACATTAATGTTGCTGCCTGGTACTGAGGTTGAAGGGACATTAGGGTAGATGCCTGGTACTGAGGTTGAAGGGACATTAATGTTGCTGCCTGGTACTGAGATTGAAGGGACATTAATGTTGCTGCCTGGTACTGAGGTTGAAGGGACATTAGTGTAGATGCCTGGTACTGGATGATGAAGGTGGGGTGTTTGGGCTCATAGATGAAGATCACTGAGGAGGACCTGTGGATCAGCCCTGCTTAGATGGTACTGAGGTTGAAAGGACATTAGTGTAGATGCCTGGTACTGAGGTTGAAGGGACATTAGTGTAGATGCCTGGTACTGAGGTTGAAGGGACATTAGGGTAGATGCCTGGTACTGAGGTTGAAGGGACATTAATGTTGCTGCCTGGTACTGAGATTGAAGGGACATTAATGTTGCTGCCTGGTACTGAGGTTGAAGGGACATTAGGGTAGATGCCTGGTACTGAGGTTGAAGGGACATTAATGTTGCTGCCTGGTACTGAGATTGAAGGGACATTAATGTTGCTGCCTGGTACTGAGGTTGAAGGGACATTAGTGTAGCTGCCTGGTACTGAGGTTTAAGGGAGATTAATGTTGCTGCCTGGTACTGAGGTTGAAGGGGCATTCATGTAGCTGCCTGGTACTGAGGTTGAAGGGACATTAGTGTACCTGCCTGGTACTGAGGTTGAAGGGACATTAGGGTAGATGCCTGGTACTGAGGTTGAAGGGACATTAATGTTGCTGCCTGGTACTGAGATTGAAGGGACATTAATGTTGCTGCCTGGTACTGAGGTTGAAGGGACATTAGTGTAGCTGCCTGGTACTGAGGTTGAAGGGACATTAGTGTAGCTGCCTGGTACTGAGGTTGAAGGGACATTAATGTAGCTGCCTGGTACTGAGGTTGAAGGGACATTAATGTAGCTGCCTGGTACTGAGGTTGAAGGGACATTAATGTTGCTGCCTGGTACTGAGGTTGAAGGGACATTAATGTTGCTGCCTGATACTGAGGTTGAAGGGACATTAATGTAGCTGCCTGGTACTGAGGTTGAAGGGTATTAGTGTAGCTGCCTGGTACTGAGGTTGAAGGGACATTAGTGTAGCTGCCTGGTACTGAGGTTGAAGGGACATTATTGTAGCTGCCTGGTACTGAGGTTGAAGGGACATTAGTGTAGCTGCCTAGTACTGAGGTTGAAGGGACATTATTGTAGCTGCCTGGTACTGAGGTTGAAGGGACATTAGTGTAGCTGCCTGGTACTGAGGTTGAAGGGACATTATTGTAGCTGCCTGGTACTGAGGTTGAAGGGACATTAATGTTGCTGCCTGGTACTGAGGTTGAAGGGACATTAGTGTAGCTGCCTGGTACTGAGGTTGAAGGGACATTATTGTAGCTGCCTGGTACTGAGGTTGAAGGGACATTAATGTTGCTGCCTGGTACTGAGGTTGAAGGGACATTAATGTAGCTGCCTGGTACTGAAGATGATGAAGGTGGGGTGTTTGGGCTCATAGATGAAGATCACTGAGGAGGACCTGTGGATCCGCACCTATGGTCGACTCTACCAGAAACTGTGCTCCTCCACTGGTGACATCCCCATCGGCATCTACCGCACTGAAGCACAAAAGCTACCAGTCTCTGAGGTACCTGTCTGGAAAGAAAGATCACCATTTACAGGAATCAATGACACCAAGCAGTACATCATCATGACGTTTTAGTGATAAAACATCAACACCCAGAATAAAAACTCAACTCACTCAATAACAACTCACAATAGAAACAGCTGCTGCTTGATATTGGTCTGAGCTGTGTGTGTGTGTCTCTCTCTCAGTCCCAGGTGTCCATCACAGTGGAGGACTATGAGGACACCAGAGAGCCCAGGGAGCCCCTGCTGTCCCGGAGGGGTCCCCACCGCAACTCCACCTCCTCCGAGCCCCCCTCCTCTTCCTCCCACTCCTCGGACCACCCCCTCCTCCGGCGGAAGAGCATGCAGTGGGCCAGAAGGCTGAGCAGGAAGGGGGGTCGGGGGCACAGCGGGTCGAAGGGGGGCACAGGGAGCGCTGCGGAGAGGATCAGCCAGCAGAGATTGACCCTGTTCAGACGCTCTGAGAGACAGGAGCTCAACGCTCTGGTCCGCATGCGTATGAAACACCTAGGCCTCTCACCCACCGGATTCAGTGAGTACTGTTGGATATGTTCTGAGGGGTGGATGTGTGGTCATGTAGCACTGCACTGCGCCTGCCTAATGCAATAGAACAGTTTGCTCATAGCTTTGTGTTTTCCTCCACAATTTATTTATCAACATTACTAAGAAACAACTTAATTGGTATCATTTGAGTTCCTGTGACATGGCATGTTTATTTCCTGTCTTGTGGTGTGTACTTCCTGTGTCAGACGGGATGACGGACCAGGGCAACAGGTTGTCTTACATCCTCATCAACCCCTCTCCTGACACCAGGCTGGAGCTGCACGATGTGGTGTGAGTACACAATATCATGATGGCTCAGTCAAATCACACATCATCAGCAATCAATTTCACACAATTTCCCTCAATATACTGGTTAAATTAAGTCTTGCACATTCACTCAGGAAGAAATCATTAAAGATAAGTGGGTAACACTTCCTAAAAAAGCCTGCAGGTATAATGTTTTATAATGGTGTATAACTTAATATAAGAATGTATAAGCATTTCTTAAATGTATTATTCATCTGTCTTGGTGTGTGTCCCATGTCCAGGTACCTGATCAGGCCAGACCCTCTGTCTCTGTTGCCTAACCAGGGGGGCGGTAGGAAGACTAGCAACAGCCGCTCCGAGAGCCACAGGTTCGACACACAGAACAGCACCCATTTGTGAGCGTAGACAACGGAACTCAGCAGCATAGTGGGAGGGGGGAGTGACGAGAGAGAGAGAGAGAGAGAGAGAGAGAGAGAGAGAGAGAGAGAGAGAGAGATACTATATGGAAGGATACATCTACTCTGAACATACAGTCACAGCTATCACTTAATTGTTTATTCCCGAAGACTCTCAGATGCATGGACCTTTTCTACAAGCTGATTCGTTTTATTTATGCCCCGTTTCATTTTTGAAGTGGAGAGCTGAGGACACAGAAATGCATTTAATGAACTTGTATTTGTATTTATGTATGTGCATGTACTGTATGTATGTTATGAGCCAGACACTGCCAATTTCTAACTGGACAGGAGGAACACATTTCCAAATGACTGTTATTTTTCTGTCTATATGTGGTTGTGTGTGTCGAGTCACACTTGAGGTCATTCGAGGTGATTGCAGCCGAGCCAACAGTATGCTGATCTGTGGTTTCATAAATATTTTTTGTACCTTTTTATCTGATCGAACTGTTACTTTAACTCTCAGTCAGTTCCCACGTTAATCTTTTAGTTCACCAGCAGCAGAGGAAGCCAAAGAGCAGTGGATCACCTGTCAATTGGCACAATTAGAGAGCTAGCAGGCATGCACTAATGCTGGATAATCTATAACACCATTTACTGTCTTCAGAAAGAAAGGGATAAGCCTTGAAGGAGTGACCCAGTCGATGAGTATCCCTTGAACAAAGCTAATATTAGTTTACTGATTCATGTATCTTTATGGAGAATTCTAAGTAGCCAAGGCCAGCCTTTCTGTCTCTATTAGTTAGTTAGTTAGTTAGTTAGTTAGTTAGTTAGTGTTTACACTTCCCCACATCTCCTCAACCAGCTCGCTGTTCTATTATTGTCATGCATGTTGGAGAGTCATGCATGTGGAGACCAAGGACTTGAAAGCCTTGTGAATCTTTGTCTAAAACCCCACAGAGGTTTAGTAGAGATGGTGGCGCCACCGTGTGGTGAGAATGCTGCTCAGCATCCCTGCACTACAGTACCCTCATTCAGTGCCGTTTCAACAGATATTGAAATATGTATATATTAAAGTCGCTATACATCTACTCTTTCAATGGCTCAGTTTGATTTCCAATGAATTTTCAAAGCTATTCTGTGCCAGTGTACCTTGTTCCCCAAGTTATCGCTTGCTGTGATAATATGTTTATATTGGAGCCAGTCTGCTCTGAAGGTTATGCATATCAATAGAGGTGTTTGCCTATCCATATGAATCACCTAATGGTCTGACACAGTGTGCCTTTCACCTGGTTAATTCAACTCACACAGCCCTCTATTGTCCAGACTCCTATTTCATATTTCTGCCTTAGCACAAAGTGTTATAGTGTAATCCATCATAAAGGCTGTAAATGGTCTCTCATGCATTATCATGTAGCCATTTCCACACCTGCACTGCTGAACCATTTATTAAAATGTACCTCAATTGTATGCCCTCACGGTAGACCCCCCCGTCATGTGTGTGCGCGCGCGCATGTGTACGTGTGCGCCTGTGAGTGGTGCAAGGTTATTAGACCCTCTCTGTGTGTGTGTGTGTGTGAGAGAGAGAGAGCGCGTGACTGTGGCTGTGTGTGCATGCAAATGTGCACCTTTGTGTGTGAGCATGTGAGTGGTGCAAGGTTATTAGAGTTTTGTGTTTTCATATTTTTAGTTTAGTTTCAGATAGTTTTTATTTGGTTTTTAAAATCTAGTTAGTTTTTTAATTATTTAGTTTAAGTTTTAGTGTTAGGGACAGACAGTAACCTATGTGTGGAAGGCTAGTAGCCATTTATGTGTTGTATAGTTTTTGTGTTTTTGGGGATGTCACTTCTTGCCACTATGGGGCAGTAATGCATAATGTGATGGGTCAGGTCATAGGTTAGGTTAGTTTTAAAGGTAGACTCAGGGAGATGACGTAGATGCACCAAGTAAACAGTAGTGGTGGGTCAATTTCCTCAACAACCAGGAGCGTTGAAGCACTAGGCTAAACTTCTCCACTGTTTTGGTCCCATAGTTACCACATTGTAGCAACGTGAAGCACACCCGTGCACATGCGCAGATATTCTGTGTCACCGTGTGAGAGCAAAGTCTTGCATCACGCTCATCTCAATATCTGCTGTGCTGCTTGTGGCAACGTCATCTCGCTGAGTCTATCTTTAAATGATGAAGTCAATCTCAATGTGACCTGCCAGATACAGAAGCTTGGAAACCCCAAAATCTAGAGAATAAACACCTAACACTGAACATAATTCATGATGCTTTTTATTATTGTAGTTTTGGAGTCAAAGATAATAGTTTCAGTATAGTTTTAGTTTTTCAAACGGGTTTGTTAATTATTTTATTTCAGTTGACTAAATCATTTTTTCATAATTAGTTTCAGTTCTAGTTTACTATGATAACCTGGGAGTGGTGTCTGGTCCATAAAAGGCCAGGTCACGATGAACACACTATCATGACTCATATTAACTATGTCTATGGGTGCTATTCAATCTGTATCGCTGAAATGTTACAGATTGCGCGATAGAAATGTAAAGGTCATTTCCGATTGAGCCGACATACTGTATGCAGCATTTACCTTGAATGCAGTCTCCGATAACGTGGGAACATTGCCTTTAAATTTCAACCGCGCTGTAACGCTGAACTTCAGCGATACAGATTGAATACAGCCCTATGTGTTTTATAAACATACAGAATATATATATAAGAATATACACTGCTCAAAAAAATAAAGGGAACACTTAAACAACACAATGTAACTCAAAGTCAATCACACTTCTGTGAAATCAAACTGTCCACTTAGGAAGCAACACTGATTGACAATAAATGTCACATGCTGTTGTGCAAATGGAATAGATAACAGGTGGAAATTATAGGCAATTAGCAAGACACCCCCAATAAAGAAGTGGTTCTGCAGGTGGTGACCACAGACCACTTCTCAGTTCCTATGCTTCCTGGCTGATGTTTTGGTCACTTTTGAATGCTGGTGGTGCTTTCACTCTAGTGGTAGCATGAGACGGAGTCTACAACCCACACAAGTGGCTCAGGTAGTGCAGCTCATCCAGGATGGCACATCAATGCGAGCTGTGGCAAGAAGGTTTGCTGTGTCTGTCAGCGTAGTGTCCAGAGCATGGAGGCGCTACCAGGAGACAGGCCAGTACATCAGGAGACGTGGAGGAGGCCGTAGGAGGGCAACAACCCAGCAGCAGGACCGCTACCTCCGCCTTTGTGCAAGGAGGAGCAGGAGGAGCACTGCCAGAGCCCTGCAAAATGACCTCCAGCAGGCCACAAATGTGCATGTGTCTGCTCAAACGGTCAGAAACAGACTCCATGAGGGTGGTATGAGGGCCTGACGTCCACAGGTGGGGGTTGTGCTTACAGCCCAACACCGTGCAGGACGTTTGGCATTTGCCAGAGAACACCAAGATTGGCAAATTCGCCACTGGCGCCCTGTGCTCTTCACAGATGAAAGCAGGTTCACACTGAGCACATGTGACAGATGTGACAGAGTCTGGAGACGCCGTGGAGAACGTTCTGCTGCCTGCAACATCCTCCAGCATGACCGGTTTGGCGGTGGGTCAGTCATGGTGTGGGGTGGCATTTCTTTGGGGGGCCGCACAGCCCTCCATGTGCTCACCAGAGGTAGCCTGACTGCCATTAGGTACCGAGATTAGATCCTCAGACCCCTTGTGAGACCATATGCTGGTGCGGTTGGCCCTGGGTTCCTCCTAACGCAAGACAATGCTAGACCTCGTGGCTGGAGTGTGTCAGCAGTTCCTGCAAGAGGAAGGCATTGATGCTATGGACTGGCCCGCCCATTCCCCAGACCTGAATCCAATTGAGCACATCTGGGACATCATGTCTCGCTCCATCCATCAACGCCACGTTGCACCACAGACTGTCCAGGAGTTGGCGGATGCTTTAGTCCAGGTCTGGGAGGAGATCCCTCAAGAGACCATCCGCCACCTCATTAGGAGCATGCCCAGGCGTTGTAGGGAGGTCATACAGGCACGTGGAGGCCACACACACTACTGAGCCTCATTTTGACTTGTTTTAAGGACATTACATCAAAGTTAGATCAGCCTGTAGTGTGGTTTTCCACTTTAATTTTGAGGGTGGCTCCAAATCCAGACCTCCATGGGTTGATAAATTTGATTTCCATTGATAATTTTTGTGTGATTTTGTTGTCAGCACATTCAACTATGTAAAGAAAAAAGTATTTAATAAGATTATTTAATTCATTCAGATCTAGGATGTGTTGTTTAAGTGTTCCCTTTATTTTTTTGAGCAGTGTATATATATACACTCTACTGTTCAAAGGTTTGGGGTCACTTAGAAATGTCCTTGTTTTCGAAAGAAAAGCTATTTTCTTTTCCATTAAAATAACATAGAATTGATCAGAAATACAGTGTAGACATTGTTAATGTTGGAAATGGCTATTGAAGCTGGAAACAGCAGATTTTTAATGGAATATCTACATAGGCGTACAGAGGCCCATTATCAGCAACCATCAGTCCTTTGTTCCAATGGCACGTTGTGTTTGCTAATCCAAGTTTATCATTTTAAAAGGCTAATTGATCATTAGAAAACCCTTTTGCAATTATGTTAGCACAGCTGAAAACTGTTGTGCTGATTAAAGAAGCAAAAAAACTGGCCTTCTTGAGACTAGTTGAGTATCTGGAGCATCAGCAATTGTGGGTTCGATTACAGGCTCAAAATGGCCAGAAACAAGTAACTTTCTTCTGAAACTCGTCAGTCTATTCTTGTTCTGAGAAATGAAGGCTATTCCATGCGAGAAATTGCCAAGAAACTGAAGATCTCGTACAACGCTGTGTACTACTCCCTTCACAGAACAGCGCAAACTGGCTCTAACCAGAATAGAAAGAGGAGTGGGAGGCCCCGGTGCACAACTGAGCAAGAGGACAAATACATTAGAGTGACTAGTTTGAGAAACAGGTGCCTCCCAGGTCCTCAACTGGCAGCTTCATTAAATAGTACGCGCAAAACACCAGTCTCAACGTCAACAGTGAAGAGGCGACTCCGGCATGCTGACCTTCTAGGCAGAGTTGCAAAGAAAAAGCCATATCTCAGACTGCCCATCTTAATCTTTTCTTTTTATTGGCCAGTCTGAGATATGGCTTTTTCTTTGCAACTCTGGAAAGAATGTTGATTCAGTGGGTTCTCTTTCATTTGCAACCGTCAGGTAGGTTATTAAAGTCCTTCATTTCCCATACACAACCCCCTTCTGCCCATGACACACACACACATGCATGACTCAGCATACTACCTCCTATACAAAATCTAATGTGGACTGGGCGTGACGAGGCTAAGGAATAACCACTCAGTGGAAGTAATTAACGTTGTTAATGCGGTGAGAAGGAGAGCCCTGAACAGTCACACACTCCAGGTTGAGGCAGAGAGACTGAAACGAGAAGAAATGGCGGCTAAAGCATGCAGTGTCCTGATCACGGGGGCCAACCGAGGACTGGGTCTGGAGATGGTTAAACAGATGGTGGAGTCTCCCCGGCCGGTCCACCAGTTATTTGCCTGCTGCCGAGACCCAGACGGGCCCAGAGCTGATGTGAGAGCAAAGCTGCTGCTGCTACTGCTGGAGAGAGGAGATTGGAGTGTTCCTTATTCCATCTTGTTCTTAAGGAAACTATGTCCTTGAGGGCAGAGCCATGTATGTAGAGAGTTGGGCCAACTTTTAGAATGTTGTATTTTGTTCTAATTCTAGACATTCAGTTACATAGCCTTATTTAAATATTCCCCATATAATGTTAATGGGGCGCTCACATGGCTGCCATAGAATGTTGTAGGAGTGTCATGTAAATGCATCATAATGCAGAAAACCTAAATGGCCCAACTCTAAGTACATGGCTCTGCTCGAGGGCAAACTCCACTGAATAAGAAAAACTAGAGCCTTCCTGGAAGTGTCTGTAAGAGCATTATCATATGTTTACTGTGTCTAACCAATAATGTGTCCTTTGTGTTTAATGGTCTGCGAAACCTGGCAAAGAAGCACCCCAACGTCATCACTGTCATCCGTCTTGGTGAGTACTCGCTCTGTTCCATTATTTTGTTTCTTCAAGCTCTAGCACTAGGATTATTGAGCCTATTAATGGCACTGTTGTCAGCATGCACTTGTATTTCCTGTACTGTATGAATCACATGGCAGAGTGCCAGGTTACTCTGAGCTGGCCATCTGGGATGTTTGACTGGATACTGGGGTTGACTAGCCCCAGAACTGTTTGTGCTTTCAGGACAATTACTGTTAGGGGTGACAAGACAGCACAAACAGATCAGGGTTTAGTCTAGCGGTTGACTGACTGTTTCTCCTCTGTGTCTCTCAGACGCCACAGACCCCTGCAGCATTAAGGAGTCAGCCAAGCAGGTGGGCAGTCTGGTGGGGAAGGCTGGGCTCAACCTGCTCGTAAACAACGTGGGGGTGCTGTCTCACGGCAACATGCAGACCACAAGTACCCAGGACATGCAGGCCGCATTCAACACCAACATCATGGGCCCCATGAACGTCACTAAGGTGAGAGCAGAGAGCCAGAGAAACACACACACACATACATTTTAGAGGAGGATATTTTTAGAGGAGGACACTCAAAATGTTTTTGTTTTTCCTAAGGTCTGCAAACAAAAGGTGCAGAATACTGAATAATGATTCATCATTTTTGTTTTCCCTGTCTCCCTCTCTGCCCCTGTGGTCATCATTAGTAGTTTCTGCCCTTATCTGCAGGCAGCAGCCACAGCCAATGGGAAACCAGGGATGTCCTGCAGTAAGGCAGCTGTGGTCAGCAGTTCCAGCACGGTGGCCTCCATGGCAACCGTCAAAGAGCTGTATCCTTTCTTCCCAGCCATCTCCTATCGCATCAGCAGAGTAAACAGACCTCTGTTACCCTGCCTATTATAACACATCCTCTCCCATCACATTATATTCCCTGTCGGGTTAGCCCAGCCATGTCAGTGGAGGCTTGTGTCAATTTAAATCGGAGGACGGGCTCATTGTAATGGCTGGAATTGAATACATGTCATGTGTTTGATGAGTTTGATACCTTTCCATTCATTCCATAGTCATGGTTCTACATCCAGTCTATTGTCCTGTATCCTCTCCTCTTTAACACCCTCCCTCCCTTCTCTCTTCCTGCTCCTCCTCTCCTCTCCTCTCAGGCTGGTCTGAACATGCTGACGCTCTGCGCTACAGAGGAGTTCAGGAAGGATGAGATCCTGTTTGCAGTCCTGCACCCGGCCTGGGTCCGCACAGACATGGGTGGAGAAGAGGTGACTGGCAGGGTGGTTCTATTGACCGCATTGACCTCAGGGGTATGGAAAGGATGTAATGAACAATGTTTAAGCACCTTAGAGCAGTGTTGTCCAAATGGTCCATCAGGAGCTGGAGTCAGGACCCAATACTGGGTCGTGGCATAAGCCTAAGACTGGGATTTGGTCTGATGTACTGTTTTGATTATCTGGAGGGGTCAAGACAAAATTTGAAAGGCGTTGATTACTCATGGCACAATAAAGTCTAGGAACCACTATTGCCACAGAGGCTGACCATGTATGTGTTTACTATGACCACCAGGGGGCAATCGATGCTTCAGAGAGTGTGGAAGGACTGCTGCGCATGATGGACTCCCTCACTGAGAAACAGTCTGGGGCCTTCCGGGACTATGAGGGCAAAGTCTTGCCTTGGTAAACTCACTGGACTGTACTGAACACTGGAGAACTCTGAACAATCTTTTATAATCTTTCTATAAACCTTCTATAAATATGCATCAAATACACGAATACAATCAAGTGGTATCCCCCAAAAATCTATTAAATGGAACATTTTTAAAACATTTTGGGGCTTTTATATACAGGAATTGTAATATTCATTGTATCGAATCGAATCGTATATCTTCATTCATCAATCACACATGCTTTTTACTACACATACCATAATATGGCAAAACAAGCCAATGTCAAATGGAGTCTTTTGATAATAAACAGTATATGATTTCTTCTATCGATAAAGTCAAAAGGCAATCAAAACAATCTCTAAAAGATCTTACAAATTGTTTTTCACACACACCGTGCCAAACATTTCACTATGCCATTACCTATGTGTCTTGTGGCTGGATATGTGCCTTGGATGTACAGCTAGCACTCTCTTTGAATGGTACTGTCAGAACCCCTCCTCATCACCAGGTGGCGCTGTTCCACACAGCCACTTTGACCGGGCAGATCTTCAGCGGGCCAGGGTTGTTGCCATTGATGTTGGCCCCAGGGCAGAAGAAGGGGAACATCCTCTCAGTGAACAAATCATTGAAGGTGTAGATGGACGTCATGTTAACAGGGTTGGAGAAGGTCACCTCCCCAGAGTCGTAGTCCAGCTGCACCCTGACCCTCTTCAGCTCCCCTGTCAGTTTTAGAGGGGTGCGTGGCCGGGTCATGGCCATGTACTCACCCTCGCAGTGGGAGATCATCCACAAGCCGCCCTCAGGGCAGCCTGAGATCCGGCCCTTCCTGTTGATGGACTCCTTGACCACACCCAGCATCCAGTCGTCCTTGTCCCCCACCTCTACCTCCCAGGCGTGGCGGCCGGTGGTGAAGCCCTCAGAGCCTAGGACGAACACAAAGTGGTCAAAACGCTCTGGGTTGTCTGGGAGCACCTGCACATGACCGCTATTGGTCACACTAGTCAGGTCCTTGTTCAGAGAGAGCCAGGAGTAGGCCGTGTTAGGGTCCAGAGTTACAGGAGCTGGGAGATGGAGAAAATGGCTTTATTGATGGGGGTGTACGAAGGAAACAGTTTTAATAAAATATTTACAAGTTGTGTATCTAGTAATAAATGAGTTATCGTACATCTATCAAAGTTAGTAGAAGTTAACTAGAACATTAGTTAATGCAGTTGTAGCTAACTAGCTACCCAACAAGCCAAAGACTGGAGCATAAACAGACTACTGTACTCTTGCTGTACATACTGTACTCTACCAGCACCACCATCTTCTCCCAGACCTTGTACTTGAGGGAGCTGACATGCTTCGCCACGTTGATCATAGCCCCTGAGATCTCCTCTGGACCCTTCAGAGGTATCACAGCTCTGCAACAATATAACAGCCAGTTAGTTCTAGTTGGAGTTTGGTACATTACATTATAAGGGTATTAGCTTCTCAAGTCAAAACACTTACCTCTTCTTTGTGTTTCTGTAGTTCTGAAATGGGAAAAATACAAATGTTTTGTAACTGTTTGTACTGTTAATACTGCTGGTTTATAAAAGTTCCTATTCTTCTTACCTGAAGAAAAAGAGCGTCACTAGAGGCTATCTCATTATCAATAGCGATGATGGCATGAGAGAGGGTGAGGATGTCTGCGGTGATGCCCTCTGTCTTCTTCCTCACCAGATGTCTCTTCTGTTCTTCTTCCTCCTGTAGGATAGCTATCCTGGCTTCCTCCTGTAGGATAGCTATCCTGGCTTCCTCCTGTAGGATAGCTATCCTGGCTTCCTCCTGTAGGATAGCTATCCTGGCTTCCTCCTAGGATAGCTATCCTGGCTTCCTCCTGTAGGATAGCTATCCTGGCTTCCTCCTGTAGGATAGCTATCCTGGCTTCCTCCTGTAGGATAGCTATCCTGTCTTCCTCCTGTAGGATAGCTATCCTGGCTTCCTCCTCATTCTGGAGGAACTGCCTGAGCTGCTCAAACTCCTCTCTGATGTGATTCTCTGTCTGCTGGGTCTGGCTCTGGACAAACAGGAGAAACGGGTCATAGGAGAGATAGAATCTTATATACAACTCTATAACAGTGGCACACAATGGCAGACATTTGTCAAAACGTTGTTTTGGTAGGCAAGCCATTGAGAACAAAGTATCTTATGACCTAGATATATCTGATTTCTGATTTGTGCGATAAATGCAATAAATTCTAAATAACTTTATTTTCCCTCAAGGGGAAATGCTTGGTCGAACACCAGGCACAGTACAAGGCACAACACATATTACTGCTTTGTCCACATGAGGTTAAGACCATATTTTCAAGGGTTTGTTTTTTCAAAGGCATTCCTCCAACTATTTACAGACTAACAGTGTGTGAGCTAAACATCAGTCAGTGTTGTGTTGGGATCTGCTGATGTCCCACAGTTTCGGACGCCCTGTTTGTTGATACCTTGATGTGCACAGTTGTGTCATCACACTCCTTCTTGGCTTCATAGAGGCCACGGAGGCTCTTCTTCAGAGGGATCAATTGTTGCTTCATTTCTTCCTGAAGGAGAGAGAGAGAGAGAGAGAGAGAGAGAGAGAGAGAGAGAGAGAGAGAGAGGGAGAGAGAGAGAGAGAGAGAGAGAGAGAGAGAGAGAGAGAGAGAGAGAGAGAGAGAGAGAGAGAGAGAGAGAGAGAGAGAGAGAGAAGGTTTTTAGAGAGACTGCTGTATAGTGTATAAGAGCGTCTGGAAGCTTAGCTCAAGAAAAGCTAGCCATGCTAAAGCTCATCTGAGGTCATGCATAGGCTGCTGTTCAGCCGTAATCAGGATATTTTGGTGATACTTTCTTAGTTCTCGATTCAGAATAAACTTTTATCTTGTTAACGTCTGTGTGCAGTTGCAGGTGGTACTCCAAAAACCAGAGAATATTCCGAAAAATCCACTTTTTGTAACGAGTGAGAAATGCCTCTTGCATGTGTATAGATCTTTGTCATCTACTTCTACACGTGGCCACGTTGTATAGAAACGACTAGCTCCTGCAAAGACTTTGGGAAATGCGAGATGTGCGGCAGCTAAAATGGCGAGGAACTTCCTCGCGCGGTGCAATAAGTGGATTTAATATTTTTCTGAATTTTCTCTGGTTTTTGGAGCACCACCTGCAACTGGACACAGACGTTTATGAGAGACAAGTTTATTCCGAATCTAGTGCTTTGCACTAGCATACAGTGTAACCGTGTATGGAAGCATTCACATATCACCTTACAATGTGTAGCTTTTTTTTGTTGGAAAGCCAACTAGCAGATACAGTATCAATGGCTCTGGATCTCTCTCTAAATGTCATTGTTGTGAAATGTGGCACATCAATGACAATCATGTTTCACAATAGTTATGTTTGATTGCTGACTGTACTGCTTCAAGTTTATACTGTTGCTAAAACAAGCTGGATTATGGTCAATATTAAGTAGTATATCTGAATAAAAACATTGAAATTAAAAGATTATCTGACAGAATACAATATTTGCAACACCATAAAAGAGAGGGTTACACAACCATCCAAAAATGAATGATACGAGACAAGCCATTCTAACCTTGAGCTCCTGGGACCCCTCCTCTAGTGGGATCACATGGTGGCCCTGGTGCCTCTTAGATGTGTGACACACACAGCAGAGCACCTCGGCATCGTCCTGGCAAAACAGCTTCAGCACCTCCCCGTGTGTAGGGCACTTCGCCTCAGACTTCACTGGGACACCCCCTCTGTCCGGCCACCCACCCGCCTCGCCCTGGTTCCTCTGCTTCCTGAAGAAAGTTTTGGCCACGTTCTTCAGAGCCAGGCTCACCGTGGGCTCCGTCAGGGCACACTTCATGCGGCACACGGGACACTCGCGCCTCGCCTTCTTCTGGTTCAAGTTCTGCACTTGAGCACCACGGGGTCCCGGAAGATCTCGCAGCACACGGGGCAGGTTAGCTCGTCCTCCAGCATGGAGCCCGAGTGAGAGGACACGGCCCTGGGCCACAGAGCCATGTCCACCTTGGAGCTCTGTAAGAACGAGGGTTTCCCAGGCTGGGAGGAAGCCCGTGGGCGTTGCGCCATGACTGGCTCCTGGATCATAGCTAGAGACTACTGTGGTGTATTCCCTTTTCAGTGGAGGAAATATCTTTCAGTAGTGCTGTAGCATCTACTCTTTCCTGAGGAAAGTTCTCTGTCAGCTCTATCCCTCATCCAGGAACAGACACTGGACTGATAGCTAAGGGCACACAACATGGACATAGTAAATGAGGGACATGAGATCACATCCTATAGGTCACCTGGACTTGTAGAACAGGTCCTGCTCCGCCCCCCAAGGGAAAAGTGTCCTTAAAAGTCAAATCACCTCCCCCGGCGTCCTACCTACTCTACCTGCCCACAACAGGATTCTAAGAAACTAGTCCTTAGTTATTATGCCTAGCCCAACTGACCTCCCAGTCAGAGTCAGTCTGCCTGTTTCAGAGAAATGAGAGGTGGGAGTGTCATATGTGGGTAAAGCCTGGAGCAACATGTGCTGCAGTGGGAGTAGGGTTAGGAGGCCTCCGACTGGGCACTAACGGATTGAATCAACTTTGTTCCAACCTAATTTGTCAGCGTATTGTGATGTGGAATCTACGTGGAGAATACATTGGATTTTTTTAAAGTCATCAACGTAAACTATTGTTTTGAGGGTGAAATTTCAACCACAGGATTATGTCATAATTGTAACACATTTTCAACATAGACAAATCTTCCCACTGGGCACAGACGTCAATTCAACGTCTATTCCACGTTGGTTCACTGTAATTTCATTGAAATTACATGGAAACAACGTTGATTCAACCAGTGTGTGCCCAGTGCGTTGTATAAAATATGTTGAAGTCAGATGCAGTGGCTGGGGGCGGTGCCCCACTTGTGATTGGTCCAAAAAAGTGAAAGATCTATATATATACTGTATATTGTTCAAAAAACATATATTTTATATATATATATAGTTTTTATATATATACACTACCGGTCAATAGTTTTAGAACACCTACTCATTCAAGGGTTTTTCTTTATTTTTACTATTTTCTACATTGTAGAATAATAGTGAAGACATCAAAACTATGAAAAAACACATATGGAATCATGTAGTAACCCAAAAAGTGTTAAACAAATCAAAATCTATTTTATATTTGAGATTCTTCAAATAGCCACCCTTTGCTTTGATGACAGCTTTGCTTACTCTTGGCATTTGAAGATGGACCTTCCTGGGTTGTTGAAATGAATGCCCAGACCTTCTGGGTCTGCTCTATCAGGTACTGAACAGATTACACTAAAGAGCAAATTGCAATGAATTTGTAATTAAATAACCTGAACCGGACATCCACATCCATCAACAGTCGAAGGACAGAGCAATACACTTGCTAGAACCTTCTTGCGGATCTGGTAGGACAATTGTTTTTAAATCTGTGCCAGTAGCGATTTTAGCATGGAAATCTTGGTGGGGCAAAAAAATAATGTAGATGCATGCCAGCAAAGCCACTACACAACACAACACTAAACAATACATTAATTGCACTATAACGGTGACAAACGGTGCCCATAAACTGTTAGGGCCTACATAAAGCTATCCCAACAGCATAGCTTTCTTTTCAGCACTATGGAGTGAATCCTCACCACCGCTACACCTGGCTATCAGCGGAGCCTTGTCTGGCAGCGAAACAGTTAATTCAGCCTCATTTACTGCCTTTTAAAAAACATAGCTGATATGGCTGACTTGCTTAAACAAATGTGGTTTCTACTGACAATTGAGATGTACAAACTATATCATAAGGAGACGATGAGCGTATAAGAGGCAATCCGTAATTTCGATTAAGACATTAATGAGCGAGCTAGGACGGATGTAGTCAATATAACTATTTGTTCAGCACTTTTGAAATGTACAGCGACATAATTCTGAACATGGGCCGTTCTTACAGTATTCTCCCTGTATACCAAGTCAGAACCGTAGGATAAATAAAGGGGGCATGTAAGCAGACAATGAAAGCTCTTACAATATTCGATGATTACATTTCTCTAAAACAGGCTATAGGCTACATGTGCACCACCAAGTCAGAACAGTAGGCTAAATTGAGGGGGAAAGGGACCAAATTATTAGGGTGAGGCACATGGGCTACTAACAGTTTACTACACAACATACAATTAGTATTACTTTCTTAGCTACAGTATTCATATCTCCCTGGCATATTACATAATTTATGCAGAACCATACACCTCATTTTTGGACTCACCTTGTTGTGCTCACTTGAACAGGAAGGTGGCGCAGCGGTCCTTCGTGGGCAAATTTTGTCATCAAAGTCTGGCATTCTCTGGATTTATGGTGCTTTCAAGACAACTGGGAACTCTGAAAAAAACAAGGTTGAATCATGATGTCAGTGATCTTCAGGTCGGAGCTCTAGAAAGACTTGGAATTCCGAGTTGGATGACCGTATTTTCCCAGTCGGAGTTTGTTTTTTTCAGAGTTCCCAGTTGTCTTGAACTCACTGATGTCTGAGATTTCCCAGTTCCGAGTTTCCAGTTGTTTTGAACACGGTAGAAGTCATGCTGGATTGACAGCATGGCCAATGTATTCAACCTTTTATGGCCCATGATGTTGAATGTTTATCCTTTTAAGCTTGGAAAAGAGACCCTTAAACCCAGACTTGGACTTACCACCTACTCCACTGAATAGCAGGTTAGTGATTGCTTTGCAACACTTGCAGTTAGCCACTGATTCCTTCCAAACTACTCATTGTTGAATTTGCGATTTCCAACTTGTTGTGTAATGTTTATGTCCAATGGCCGATGAGCACCTGATACGTTTTATCTATAATTCCTCATTCATAATTTATCTTCATATGACAAGGATTGAAAAGGATTTGCCAGTAGATTGTCGACTTGATTCATCATGATGACTGCTAGCTTGCTAGCTAAGATTTTGAAAGTATGATGTTGACATGATCAGTCCAATCAAAGCTACAGCAGATATGACGTGATTTGACATCATTTTATCTGTGGCCTTCTTGGATGGGCATTTCTAATGTAACTCTATGGCAGCACCGAAGGGGCTTGAATTTTAGAGCTCTTTTTAGAATACCTGCCTCCCTGGGTATTCAGCCAATCAGCGGCCGCCACTGGTCAGATCTTCAACGTTATATCCACTATCAAAAAAACAACAACTACAGGCTGGGCAGCACCTCCTACTGGCGAGTTGATCTACAGTTATTAATAATTTATATGTCGGATTCACATCTCCATCTCAATAAAGATCAGTTAAAGGATTGGACTAAATCAAATCAAACTTTAAATGCACTTTAAATAAAGTTATATTTGATTTAGTCCTATTCTTTAACTTTGATTCTTGGTTGAGATGGAAATGGGAATTTAACATATCAATTATACATTTGTATACAAACTGGAAGTTGTTGACAACCAAACACAATTCAATATCACTTTTGCAATACAGTAAATAGCCTATTAACTTGTCGACAAGTTGGCAAAATTATATGTTGGATTCAAGTCTCCAACTAAACCAAAAATAAAAGTTAAAGAATAGGATTAGCTAGTGGCTCAGACGAAACTATCTGGCATTGTCAACCAAACACAATTCAATAATATTTTTGTAATACAGTAAATAGCCTAAAATCTTACAAACTAATGTACAGTGGGGAAAAAAAGTATTTAGTCAGCCACCAATTGTGCATTTTCTCCCACTTAAAAAGATGAGAGAGGCCTGTAATTTTCATCATAGGTACACGTCAACTATGGCAGACAAATTCAGAAAAAAAATTCCATAAAAACACATTGTAGGATTTTTTATGAATTTATTTGCAAATTATGGTGGAAAATAAGTATTTGGTCACCTACAAACAAGCAAGATTTCTGGCTCTCACAGACCTGTAGCTTCTTCTTTAAGAGGCTCCTGTCCTCCACTCGTTACCTGTATTAATGGCACCTGTTTGAACTTGTTATCAGTATAAAAGACACCTGTCCACAACCTCAAACAGTCACACTCCAAACTCCACTATGGCCAAGACCAAAGAGCTGTCAAAGGACACCAGAAACAAAATTGTAGACCTGCACCAGGCTGGGAAGACTGAATCTGCAATAGGTAAGCTGCTTGGTTTGAAGAAATCAACTGTGGGAGCAATTATTAGGAAATGGAAGACATACAAGACCACTGATAATCTCCCTCGATCTGGGGCTCCACGCAAGATCTCACCCCGTGGGGTCAAAATGATCACAAGAACGGTGAGCAAAAATCCCAGAACCACACAGGGGGACCTAGTGAATGACATGCAGAGAGCTGGGACCAAAGTAACAAAGCCTACCATCAGTAACACACTACGCCGCCAGGGACTCAAATCCTGCAGTGCCAGACGTGTCCCCCTGCTTAAGCCAGTACATGTCCAGGCCCGTCTGAAGTTTGCTAGAGTGCATTTGGATGATCCAGAAGAGGATTGGGAGAATGTCATATGGTCAGATGAAACCAAAATAGAACTTTTTGGTAAAAACTCAACTCGTCGTGTTTGAAGGACAAAGAATGCCGAGTTGCATCCAAAGAACACCATACCTACTGTGAAGCATGGGGGTGGAAACATCATGCTTTGGGGCTGTTTTTCTGCAAAGGGACCAGGGCGACTGATCTGTGTAAAGGAAATAATTAATGGGGCCATGTATCGTGAGATTGTGAATGAAAACCTCCTTCCATCAGCAAGGGCATTGAAGATGAAACGTGGCTGGGTCTTTCGGCATGACAATGATCAACATAAACTATTGTTTAGAGGGTGAAATTTCAACCACAGGATTATGTCATAATTGTAACACATTTTCAACATAGACAAATCTTCCCACTGGGCACAGACGTCAATTCAACATCTATTCCACGTTGGTTCACTGTAATTTCATTGAAATTACATGGAAACAACGTTGATTCAACCAGTGTGTGCCCAGTGCGTTGTATAAAATATGTTGAAGTCAGATGCAGTGGCTGCCCATTCATTAGGGTGTTAGGGGCGGTGCCCCACTTGTGATTGGTCCAAAAAAGTGAAAGATCTATATATATACTGTATATTGTTAAAAAAACATATATTTTATATATATATTAAAATATATATATATAGTTTTTATAAATATACACTAATGTTCAAAAGTTTTAGAACACCTATTCATTCAAAGATTTTTCTTTATTTTTACTATTTTCTACATTGTAGAATAATAGTGAAGACATCAAAACTATGAAATAACATATATGGAATCATGTAGTAACCAAATTTTATATTTGAGATTCTTCAAATAGCCACCCTTTGCCTTGATGACAGCTTTGCACACTCTTGGCATTAGCTTTTGTTTAAATTCAAACCAGGGTTCAACTAAAAATAGACAAATATAGGCATATGATTTCAAGCTTTGGTTGATTTCAAATGTAATCTTCAAATGAATCATTAAGATGTTGGATTCACGTCTCCATCTCAACCATAAATTTAAGTTAAAGGATAGGACTAAATCAAATCAAACTTTATTTAAAGTGCATTTAAAGTTTGATTAGATTTAGTCCTTATCTTTAACTTAGATTTTTTGGTTGAGATGGAGACGTGAATATAACATATAAATTATTAATTTGTAGATAAACTGGATATTGAATTGTGTTTGGTTGTCAACACAACCAAATATCAACATTTGTAGGACCTGAATCTTCTGTGCCACTGACTTAGTCTGGCTTTAATTCCAGTTTGCCTACAAATTAATAATTTATATGTTGGATTCACATCTCCATCTCAATAAAGATCAGTTAAAGGATTGGACTAAATCAAATCAAACTTTAAATGCACTTTAAATAAAGTTATATTTGATTTAGTCCTATTCTTTAACTTTGATTCTTGGTTGAGATGGAGACGGGAATTTAACATATCAATTATACATTTCTATACAAACTGGAATTTGTTGACAACCAAACACAATTCAATATCACTTTTGCAATACAGTAAATAGCCTATTAACTACCGTAAGTTAGCAAAATGATATGTTGGATTCAAGTCTCCAACTAAACCAAAAATAAAAGTTAAAGAATAGGATTAGCTAGTGGCTCAGAAGAAACTATCTGGCATTGTCAACCAAACACAATTCAATAATATTTTTGTAATACAGTAAATAGCCTAAAGTTAAGGCTATCTTACAAACTCATGTAACAGTATTTATTCAACCTTGAAAAGAGTAATACATCCATGGCCACATTTTGAGGTTAGCCTACTGTAATTATACAGCGCATTTGGAAAGTATTCAGACCTCTTGACTTATTTCCACATTTTAGTACGTTACAGCCTTATTCTAAAATGTATTAAATTGTTTATTTCTTCTTCATCAATCTACACACAATATACCATAATGACAAAGCAAAAACATTTTATAATTTTTTACACATTTATAAAAAATAAAAATAAACATAAATATCATATTTACATAAGTATTCAGACCCTTTACTCAGTACTTTGCTGAAGCACCTTTGGCAGCGATTACAGCCTCGAGTCTTCTTGGGTATGACTCTTCAAGCTTGGCACACCTGTATTTGGGGAGTTTCTCTTATTCTTTTCTGCAGATCCTCTCAAGCTCTGTCAGGTTGGATGAGGAGCGTCGCTGCACAGCTATTTTCAGGTCTCTTCAAAGATGTTCGATCAGGTTCAAGTCCAGGTTCTGGCTGGGCCACTCAAGGACATTCAGAGACTTGTCCCGAAGCCACTCCTGCGTTGTCTTGGCTGTGTGCTTAGGGTCGTTGTCCTGTTGGAAGGTGAACATTGGCCCCAGTCTGAGCTCTGGAGCAGGTTTTCATCAAGGATCTCGCTGTATTTTGCTCCGTTAATCTTTCCCTCGATCCTAACTAGTCTCCCAGTCCCTGCCACGGAAAAACATCCCCACAGCATGATGCTGCCACCACCATGCTTCACCGTAGAGATGGTGCCAGGTTTCCTCCAGACGTGATGCTTGGCATTCAGGCCAAAGAGTTCAATCTTGGTTTCATCAGACCAGAGAATATTGTTTCTCATGGTCTGAGAGTCCTTTAGGTGCCTTTTAGCAAACTCCAAGCGGACTGTCATGTGCCTTTTACTGAGGAGTGGTTTCCATCTGTCCACTCTACCATAAAGGCCTGATTGGTGGAGTGCTGCATAGATGGTTGTCCTTCTGGAAGGTGCTCCCATATCTACAGAGGAACTCTGGACCTCTGTCACAGTGACCATCGGTTGTTCAGTTTGGTCGGGCGGCCAGCTCTAGGAAGAGTCTTGGTGGTTCCAAACTTCTTCCATTTGAGAATGATGGAGGCCACTGTGTTCTTGGGCACCTTCAATGCTGAATAAATGTTTTGGTACCCTTCCCCAGATCTGTGCCTCGACACAATCCTGTCTCGAGCTCTATGGACAATTCCTTCGACCTCATGGCTTGGTTTTTGCTCTGACATGCACTGTCAGCTGTGGGACATTATATAGACAGGTGTGTGCCTTTCCAAATCATGTCCAATCAATTGAATTTACCACTGGTGGACTCCAATCAAGTTGGAGAAACATCTCAAGGATGATCAATGGAAACAGGATGCACCTGAGCTCAATTTCATGTCTCATAGCAAAGGGTATGAATACTTATGTAAATAAGGTATTTCTGTTTTTATTTTTAATACATTTGCTAAGAATAGGGGTCTGAATACTTTCCGAATGCACTGTAAATGTCTTCTTATTTAATCATAGAAAGCGTGCATGTTCAAGATAGCATGCAAAGGTCGCAGGTCTGTGGCGATTTTCACAATTGCTGTAATAATCTGCACAGAATCTTGAACAGCATGAATAACTTAATTGCGTTATGTACTTTTAATGTAATCTCAACTGCAATCCAGGTCATTTGGTTGTGCTTTTAGATGAAGCACAGTTATAACATATTAAATTGTATAAATACAAAATGGGACATTGTATTCCTATTTGAACTTTGTTGTCCCTTTAAATGGTTGAAAGTGCAGTGATAACACATTTAGATGACAACTAAACCAAAAATCCGACATTGTTTTTCCATTGGAATTTGGTTGTGCTTTTAGATGGTTGAAAGCATAGTGATTACACATTGGGAATTCAACAAACTTCTGGCTGTCTTTGAGTGGGTGAATACATTTTTAAATCTCATTGATCAACATCTCAACCAAATATTACCCAAATATCCACGTTGAAATGACATGGTGTGTCCAGTGAGCTGTATGCAGTAAACATGGTTGTTTTGGGGATTCAGGCCGTTAAAGGTTGACCATGCCAAAAACGTATAGAACGTGGGATGCTGAGCCAAGCATTTAGAAGAGGTAGTACATTTTCCGTCCTAGCACTAAGATTAGTATCAGTGCAATTACAAATTCAAGCTTAGACGTGACTATCAAACATTGATACGCCATATCAAATTCCCATTGTGTATTGCATTACCAAAGTGTCCTACTATTGAGGGCTGAAGTGAGTGATTTGCTGCATGTATTTTTTGAGGTGAGAACAGGACCTGAGTGCACACACACCCACATAAACACACCCTCATAAACACACACAGCACTCCAGGGGGTGATGGGTTTGTCTCTCTAAGAAGAACATGTTTCCATTAGCAGGTGAACGCCAACTCAGCCAGCCTGTGCAAAATATCAGCTGACTACGACCTGGCGTTAGGTCATTTTCTTGCCCCACTAAGGAAAATGACAAATGTATTTTAAAAAATTAAGATTTTGCACTTTTTTCAGCTAAAAAATCGGACATAATATAGTAATATGAATTACATTAGGGAAAACATTTCCTGTTGAAGAGTCAAAGGCAACATTTGTGTATTCAACTGCGAGGGAGAGACATGGAAGACATCTTATTTCATAATCGTTGTCATTATTATTGCCATTATAAATCAGACATTGTAATAGAAAGCCATTCCAAAACAATGTGTCCTCAGTGTTACAGTGCCTATTATCAGTATTTTATGACAGTAACCATTTAGATATACTTCAACAGCATTGAAAAGACAGAAAAACAACCAAACCATTTACTACAAAAATATGTTGTTCATACACAGATATTGCAAGACTATGGAAAAGATAACACAAAAAAGTTATGAAAATAAATATTTTCTATGTTGAATAGTTATTTTCTATATCTTGGAACTTTGACCCATATTGCATGTTTTTGTTTTTTTATTCATCTATAAAGAAGTCATTAAAAGCCTAGATGTCTTTGCAGAAAGTAGTTTGGTTTGATAATGACATCATTCTGTTCCTATGGTAGTGTCCAGGTTCTTTCCTAAAGTAACAGTCTTGGACCTGGTCCTTCATTTCATTGCAGAATTGCATAATGGTGCATTTTTCTTTCATTACTTGACCGGTCCATGACTTATGTGCATAACGATTTGGCTCCTTCATGTTGAGACTGTCTGGTCCCTCAAGAATGCAGTCTATTGGAAATGCCAAGGCTTTTGGCATGGATATCAGTATTCATTTTTACCAGCAAGTCAATTAAAACAGAGGAAATTCCTCATCAGAAACAACTCTACTTTTCATTTAAAACACATACTTCACAACACTCCCTTAAAAAAATCCTGCAAAAACATCTATTGAAAAGAAAGTAAAGGCTTGCACAGTCCACCAATAAGTACATTTTTTTGTTTGTTTTTTTACAAGTACTTGTAGTATTCATGTAATACCGTAATATAACACTGCTTTTCTTAATACTGGAGTTTCCCTTACGTCTGGCAAAGGGGACCATTTAAGTACTAACCAATCAGACCATCTTTGTTTACTTGCAGCATATCCCAGTCAGTTAAGTGCAGCTTGTTTCTATAGTTTATTCACTTCAGAAAAACTGTTAGTGATTGTAGTTTGAACCATAGAAAAAGCTGCAGCAAAGTTCTGTAGTGATAGCCTATGCATTGTAAACCTTCAGCAGCCAAAACCCTCCTTCACTAGTGACACTCCCAACGGCACATAAAACCAAAAGAACTCACAGAGAGGAGACAAAAACTAATAGCACATGCTAATAAGACTGTTTTCTGACCATGTGATTTGACCAGAACATTCTGGGCCCGAGCGTCTCAATACGCCTCTCCCTGAACAACACTACACAGAACACAAATACTGTAGTCCAGTGCTATGTAGTGAGTGACCGCTCCAGTGAAGTACAATGCACTTTTCTTATATTTTTTTTACAGCACAGTGCAACAGTGGAAAAAAATCTGTTTGTTTGAACTCAAACATCAAAGGTAGGTGTATGTAAGCCGTGGTCCCTCATTTCTCCCACTTGTTCTCGGGATTGTTCCTAGGAGGACTAGTGGAACAAAGACATGGGGGTCAACATGTGACGTGTTCCAGGTCAGGAGGTGTGTCCACAACCACAAGACCCAGAAGAAAATTGAAAAGCACTTGCTGTTTGAACACAATAACCTCCACGTGTTGCATTCAATAGTCTGAGTCTGATGAGAGCCTGATCGCCACAGAGCTAGTGATCAGAGTCCTCTATCCTCTCCCATACACTGTCTCTATCCTCCCAAAGAATCTCTCCCAAAAGTCTCCCAACAAGAGTAGTAAACTCCACGTTAAAAAAAGTACACTGAAAACAATAAGTAAATCATATGATGGTAGTGTGGTGTTTCCTAGTAGTTCTGTTTGTTGCGGGTTGGTGCCTTAGCGTTCAAAACCACACACAGGTTGTTCCCCTGCTCCCTCCGGTTACAGCCGGCCAACCTTGGCGTCCCCGATGGCACCCCAGACGTCAAACACAAATTCGTCCGGGAAGGCAAAGTCACCGAGAGTCTCGTCCAACGCCTCGGCAAACTCATCTGGGTTCTTTTTGTCCTTCCCCAGCTCCACCATTGTAGCAGCTGACAGTGAGGGAGAGGGGTAAGACGGGGGTCAACCACAGCACAACAAAGTAATAGTAAGTTAAATAGTTAACCAAATAGCTACCCAGACTATCTGCATTGACGCTTTTTGCACTAACTTTGACTCATCACATACATTTATTATCTGTCACTTTATTCCTCGTTAAATGCACATATCTACCTCAATTACCTCGTACCATGCACATCGACTCAGTACTGGTACCCCGTGTATATTGACAAGTTATCGTTACTCATTGTGTATCTATTATTACGTGTTTTACTTTTCTATTATTTCTCAATTTCTTTCTCTCTGCATTGTTGGGAAGGGCCCATAAGTAAGCATTTCACTGTTAGTCTACACCTGTTGTTTACGAAGCATGTGATTTTAAGTGGCAAAACACAAGTCAACACTTTGGTAACAGGAGCTGCATGTGTGAATCACATTCACACGTATGCACACACTGTCTCCCTTACCCAGCTCACTGTCTCTGATGCCCATGTAACTCTCCAGGAGGTCATCCACTTTCTCTATGGCCTTCTCCTCAAATGCAGAGGGCTGACAAACAAATACCACAAACATAGTCATGACCTGAAAACATGTTTACCTTATTAACGGTAATAGAAGAACCAACACACACACACACACACACACACACACACACACACACACACACACACACACACACACACACACACACACACACACACACACACACACTCACCAGCTCCTCCACAGTGGCTGGGCCTTTGGAGCGTAAACGCAGGGTGCCCTTCCCTGTCCCCAGCTGGGTTCCTGAGCCAGCCCGGGCCCCTCCTGACCTCTGGCCGATCATGTCTACAGGTAAGGGAGACAACACAACATGTCAAAGGAGCATCAGGGTCCTAACCTCCTAATTCTATATCTAGCTAGTCAAGGATAATATAAGAGCAATTAGTAAAAGGCATTACAAAGTTTGATAACTGCTTACTCATTCCTAAATATAATCTGTCACACCATAATATAATTCACAATTATTTTGTTGGCACACACAATCTCTCTCTCTCACACACACACACACACACACACACACACACACACACACACACACACACACACACACAAACCCACCGAAGGCTTTCAAGGGCTCCACCATCTTGAGAACAAAGTCCTTCCCCTTGGGCAGCTCCTTGAGCATCTTGGCCACCTCGTAGTGTCGACAGCCAATGAGACTGTGGCCGTTGATGGACTCAATCATGTCTCCCACGTTGATGACCTGGATCTGATGGACCACGCTACCCTCCCTTATTCTCTGGAAGGGACAGGATGAGACAAAGTAAAAATAGGACAGAGACTAATCCACAATTACACACAATCAGCCAATTTGGCGCTGGGCAACATAAACAAACAACTTATCTTATATTCAATCTACTGTACATTCCACACTGTCGCTGCAACTGAGGCTCTGTGTTTCAAACGCTCCCATTTTGTTCTATTTTTAGTCCTCTGTGTGTGATGCTGATGCATTTCCTGCCACTGCCAGCCCTATTCAGAGGTGACAGACAGACAACTCATTTCCTAGCCAGTAATCTTGCCCACCTTGATGAAGGCGTAGCCAGCTCCATTATCAGTGATGGTCAACCCCAGGGCATCCTCCCCCTTGAACACCTCCACCTCCTTCCTCTGGCCTTTGATATGGGCGAAGATGAAGTCCTCCAGCCCAATCTGACCCCCCAGTAACTTGTCCATGTCCACCTTGTGAGAGTTCAGAGTGCAGAACATCACCTGAAGAGGTAGAAAGTGAGTCAGTAAAGGGATAAACTGAAGCAAACTCTCTCACACACATCACACATCTGAAACACACAAGTCAGTTGCCATATTGTTCACCTCTGGTGGTGCGATCCCAAAGGCCTCTCCAATCTTGGTGTAGAGCTCTCGCACGTTGCTGAAGCCCTCGATGCGTCCCGTAGGGGCTACCGTGCGCTAGCTGGGTGTGGAAGATCAAGCGAGGTCTCAGGCTGGTGGGTGGGGGTGGCAGACCCTCCTGGGTGGTACCCTCCCCGAGCCCCACACCTCCTCCATCCAGACCGTCCATTCCTGGGACGTTAAGGCCCGCTCGGATCGGCTCAGCTTCCTCGTTCTCCACTAGTGGAGATGCCTTCTTCCTTCTACCCAATCCAAGAGGCATTTTTATCCTTCTGGCTGTCTGTCTGTGGAAGTGAACAGATGCTGCTTTGGTAGGTAGCCAAAGGTCCTGTCCTGCACAGGACTCTCTCAACAGTTCTTCCACCTGCTTTAATACCAGAGTGTTTCCAGCCCAACCACAGTGATGATTAACCACTGGATAGTGGTCGTTGTAGCTAGCTACTGCTGTTGTTGGGACAAACTTGTTTCCAGCAACTTCAAGTGTATGGCAACTACACATTCAGAGTGCATCTGTGAACAGATTGTGACAGGTTAGTTAAACATACTACCATACTACCAAACCCCATAGATAGTGCATCACATCACAATACACTGGAAGATAGCTTTAAAAAACGAGTGCCAAAACGCCCATGAGCTAACTAGCCAGCTAGCTCACCCTTAAAACACTTCAGCCTACTTGTCTTGCCATCAAGTTACATGGCATTAGATAAGATGATAAACATCTAAAATTGAATCAGAGATTGACACGCCAATTTTTAAAACAACAGATTGTCAACTAGGTAGCTAACTTGTTAACTAGGTAGCTTGTTGGCTAACACAATATTAGCTGCTAGCTAGCTGAGAATGAAGGAACATGGCAGTCAAGGCAAGCATCTTACCAGAGCTTTAGTAGCTAGCTAGCTAACGCGAGGTGATTGATTCAATCCATACGTGGAATGGAACATCAAAACACTAGGCTACTTCTTCATCCAAAGATTGTGAAAGTAAAGTTAGATCGCCTTTGAATCGCTAGTCTTGTGAGATACGCTAGTAACAAGCTAATGAGGAATGAGAGGAAAGGATGATCTGATGGTATGTATCTTGTTCAGCAGGGGTGTTTTCACTAGATAGCACAGCCACAAAGTCAGAATTGGCTATGTCGTAAAAAAAAAAAAAAAAAATGTACTTTTTGGTCTTCATTTTTGGTTGGGGTTAGGCATAAGGTTAGCACTGTGGTTAAGGTTAGGTTTAAAATCAGATTTTAAGAAGAGCAATAGTAGAAACAGGCGGGGTTTATTACTTTGCAGCTGTGGTAACTAGTGACGACCCCAGGGGTGGGACTTCAGCGCTGTACAATGGCTTCCTCCACAATAGGATTCCTCTCCTCATCTCAAGCTCTTTGATGCCCCCTACTGTGAAGCACGTTTTTTCAACCCTCTGTCCTAGGAATTCCAATAATCCTCCTGGTTTGCATGAATAATTCAGCTACACTGTCTGTAATGTATTTCTAAGCAGTGGTGTAAAGTACTTAAGTAAAAAATACTTTAAATTACTACTTAAGTCGTTTTTTGGGGTATCTGTACTTTACTATTGATATTTTTTGACTACTTTTACTTTTACTCCACTACATTTTTGGGGGTATCAGTACTTTACTATTGATATTTTTTGACTACTTTTACTTTTACTCCACTACATTTTTGGGGGTATCAGTACTTTACTATTGATATTTTTTGACTACTTTTACTTTTACTCCACTATATTCCTAAAGAAAATAATGTACTTTTTACTCTATACATTTTCCCTGACACCCAAAAGTACTTGTTACATTTTGAATGCTTAACAAGACAGGCAAATTGTCAAATTCACGCACTTATCAAGAGAACATCCCTGCTCATCCCTACTGCTTCTGATTTGGCAGACTCACTATACACAAATGCTTCATTTGTAAATGATGTCTGTGTTGGAGTGTGCCCCTGACTAACCATAAATTAAAATATATATATATATAAAAAATTGTGCCATCTGGTTTACCTAATATAAGGAATTTGAAATTATTTATTTTACTTTTGATAAAGTATATTTTTTAAATTACATTTACTTTTGATCCTTAAGTATATTTAAAATCAAATACTTTTAGACTTTTACTCTAGTAGTATTTTACTGGGTGACTTTCACTTTTACTTACATTTTAGTCATTTAGCAGACGCTCTTATCCAGAGCGACTTACAGTTAGTGAGTGCATACATTATTTTATTTATCATACTGGCCCCCCGTGGGAATCGAACCCACAACCCTGGTATTGCAAACGCCATGCTCTATCAACTGAGCTACATCCCTGCCGGCCATTCCCTCCCCTACCCTGGACGATGCTGGGCCAATTGTGCGCCGCCCATGAGTCTCCCGGTCGCGGCCGGCTGCGACAGAGCCTGGATTCGAACCAGGATCTCTATTGGCACAGTTAGCACTGCGATGCAGTGCCTTAGACCACTGCGCCACTCAGGAGTTGAGTCATTGTCTATTAAAGGTATCTGTACTTTTACTCAAGTATGGCAATTGGGTACTTTTTCCACCACTGTTTCTAAGTAATGCTCAGACAGGCTTTTACAAAAATTGCTCCGCTTTTGATTCTAACATGTAACAGATTCAGTTCCCATATGTCTCTCACTCACTTTAACCCCTGGATGTGGATGTGTGTTGTGCAGAAGATTCGACAATCTGCTCCGGGTTGAACAAAATGCACTCTGTTACAATGGTGCTGTGACCCTAATCAAGTTAGCTAGTCCCTAGTTGGCTAAAATGGTGCATGTGTAAAATGGTGCAAATAATTGTGTTGTTATGTAGAAAGTAGCTGGTTCGTGCCCCATGTGGGGCAGAACTAAATCCACTCGATTACTTAAAGTTTGACATGGGCCTAAATAAGACAGAACTACAACAGTTTGTACAATTTTATTTTTATATTTACAAGTTTGCCAGTCTTTGAAACAACTAAAATACCACAAAATGCTAAGGGGACCTCATTTGTTCAAAGCATAGGACAAATATTTAAAATAAAATGTTCAGTTTCATACAAATTAAAAGCAGAGTGCTAAGACCTATTTGTCAAATAGAAATCTTGGTGCCTAATAATAATAATAATAATAATAACATCTGTGCAAATTTAATATAAACAATTTAAACAATAGGTAAAAACAAAATGTTTAAACTTTTCCATCAAAAGGAAAACATTTGCAAATAAAGCAAATATTTAACAAAAAAGTTAAACCGAGATTACACGTCTCTACATTCATGTTAAACCACATGTTTATCTGTCAAAATTAAATCAAATGTTTATCTGTCAAAATTAAATCAAATAAGAGTGGAACTCCACTTGGAGTTCCACTCCAATAACCTCAATGACAATAATACCAGGGGTGTATTCATTACATCTCGCAACAGAAACCGTTTAGCGTTTAAGAACCAAACAGAAACGGGGAGTGACCTACCTGAATTTGTCCAATAGAAACTATTTTTCGTTACAAAACGTTTTCCGTTTGGCGTAAACGTTTGTTGCAAAGCTTTTTGTTACAGATTAAACGTTTTGCTACGGAATCAGCTTAATGAATGCACCCCAGGTTAAAATATGTATTTCAAGTACTTGAAAATGTAATATTGTTCAAATAATTCAGACATATTTTAATTGTACAACTGACTCACTACTTGTTTTTGGAATGATTTTCTTATTTACCACAGATGCTTAGGCTTGCGTTACCTAAAACAATGCACATCAAAATCAGTTCACTACATAGGCAGGCCAATTCTGATATTTTTTCCAATGATTGGTGTTTTGACCAATCACAATCAGATCTTTTCGCAGCAGAGCTGATCTGATTGGTCAAAACGCAATTTAGTGAAAAAAAAATGCTCAGAATTGGGCTGCCTGTCTAAACACAGCCAAATTAGACCAGTCATTGTTTGCAGTGTGTAAGATGTATAGGATGACAAAATAAAAAGGATGATGATCTTAACAGAAATGGTTTGCATAGAGCTTTCAGAAGTAGTAGTACCTATTAGTATCACAGCTTTAACAGAGTTAAAGAGAGAATTTAAACAGCTAAAATGAACTGCCGTTTTTGAACAGCTTATAAAAAGAGTCACTGCAGAGTAAACACACATACAAGTTCATCATACTTACAACAATAGTGATCCTCAAGTTAAATGTAAGGGGTCCTAGAGGTCAAAACATATCACACTTTCTTATAGTATTTCACAATAAGATGGTGCACGTTTGTCTACACACACACACAACACAAACGAGGTCAATCTCGCATGCGTGACATGACATTTTCGTGACATTTGGCACAAAATAGATAACACGCTCTTGATTACCTGAAATCTATACAACTGGAGAAGCTACACTACATGGCCAAAAGTATGAACATCTCATTCCAAACTCATGGGCATTAATATGGAGTTGGTCCCTCCCTTTACTGCTATAACAGCCTCCACTCTTCTGGGAAGGCTTTCCACTAGATGTTGGAACATTGGAAGTAAGTCCCTGCAGCATTCAGCCACAAGAACATTAGTAAGGTCAGGCACTGACGTCAGGCAATTAGGCCTGGCTCGCAGTCGGCGTTCCAATTCATCCCAAAGGTGTTCGATGGGGTTGAGGTCAGGGCTCTGTGCAGGCCAGTCAAGTTCTTCCACACCAATCTCGACAAACCATTTCTGTATGGACCTCGCTTTGTGCACGGGGGCATTGTCATTCTGAAACAGGAAAGGGCCTTCCCCAAACTGTTGCTACAAAGTTGGAAGCACAGAATCGTCTAGTGTGTCATTGTATGTTGTAGTGTTAAGATTTCGCTTCACTGGAACTAAGGGGCCTAGCCCGAACCATGAAAAACAGCCCCAGACCATTATTCCTCCTCTACCAAACTTTACAGTTGGCACTATGCATTCGGGCATGTAGCGTTCTCCTGGCATCCACCAAACACAGATTGTCCGTCGGACTGCCAGATGGTGAAGCGTGATTCATCACGCCAGAGAACTTGTTTCCACTGCTCCAGAGTCCAATGGGGGCGAGCTTTACACCACTCCAGCCGACGCTTGGCATTGCGCATGGTGATCTTAGGCTTGTGTGCAGCTTCTTGACCATGGAAACCCATTTCATGAAGCTCTTGACAAACAGTTATTGTGCTGACGTTGCTTCCAGAGGCAGTTTGGAACTCGGTAGTGAGTGTTGCAACCGAGGACAGACGATTTTTACATACTACGCGCTGCAGCACTCTGCAAGCTTGTGTGGCCTACCACTTTGTGGCTGAGCCGTTGTTGCTCCTAGACATTTCCACTTCACAATAACAGTACTTACAGTTGACTGTGGCAGCTCTAGCAGTACAGAAATCTGACCAACTGACTTGTTGGAAAGGTGGCATCCTATGACGGTGCCACGTTGAAAGTCACTGAGCTCTTCGGTATGGGCCATTCTACTGCCAATGTTTGTCTATGAGGTTTGCATGGCTGTGTGCTCGATTTTATACACCTGTCAGCAACGAGTGTGGCTGAAATGGCCGAATCCACTCATTTGAAGGGTTGCCCACATACTTTTGGCCATGTAGTGTATCAAGTCTGTGTAATCTGTAGGGAGTTGCCTGGAGTGAATTCCCAAAAATTTTCATTCACACCTTTATCTCTGGGTTAGTTTGAACATGATTTGCAAGTTGTGCTCAAGAAACCCAAGTTTTGCCCCTCCCATTTAAACTGAAATAATTTCCTGAATTCTATTTGCGCTAAAGTTCCCCAACATAACTCACTGCAAAATAATACCGGTGACACCAAATATATATGCATTGTATTTATAAGTATATCTACATTCAGGTGTGTATCACTGCTCCTGAGAGATATAGTTGATAAGTTGCCTGGAACAAATATTCTGGAAGCACTATCAAAACAGCTGGATACCACACAAATTCCACGTCAGTGCTGTTTGCCACAGGCATCTTCAACTCTACCTATCCCGCTGACCTTATAACAACCAGCTCCAGTCATCTCTACAGGGCCAGACCAACCCCTGCCCTATGCTCGAACACAACCTATTATCCAATGTCTAGCACTGGGTCCCCCAGAAGTTTCTTTATTTTCCCTTCCAATGGGAAATGTAATACTGTCAATAGGACATGTAAGTAATAAAATCTAAATGTTGTAATAATATTAACAGGAAAAAATGATGAACCAAACAGAACAGCTAACATCAGAGAACAGAGACCAACATGTTACTCTGTCAATATCTCATGGTGGTTAAATATATAACTGAATTATAATTTGGATCAAAGGTTGAATCAAAATAAATGGGTATAATTCCCAAACAACTAGTCTGTCCTGGGCCTAGGGTAAGGACAACTGTAATGGAAGGAAGACAACTGGCTGTCTTAGTGTTTGTTAGGGGTCTTTAAAAAGCCACTCAGTCATTCAAGGAGGAAGAATCTGAGTCAGTGCATCGCGGGCACTCTGCCCCAACTTCTCAGGGAATTTCACTACAAACTCCAGCACCATGTCCCCCCTCTTCTCTGGGCACTTGGACAGGGGTAGTCCCTCTCCCACGATACGCTTCTTCATCCCAGGTTTGACCACGTCTCTGGATGTCACAGTCACAGTCCTGCCGTCCAGAGTGGGAGCGCTGACCGTGCATCCACACAGTGCCTGATGGGAGAGAGACATATAGATAGTCACAATTAGGTGTTATATTTTAAGTTAAAGAGTACAAGGCCTGGGAGTTGGGCTGGGCGGTATATCGAATTAATTTGAATTTATGTTTTAGCGCGATGTTCCAAATGCCTGTATCGTACAATTTTTTCGTTTTTATAAGCGTTTATGTGCGCTTGTTCTCATGACGTTGTCTTTTCGGTCTTGTCTCCTTTGTGCCTTCTGTGCTGTGTGCACCTCCCCACTCACACACACACACCAAGCCCCTCCCCCTGCCACTCACAATAACATTAACATTTACATTTGTCATTTAGCAGACGCTCTTATCCAGAGCGACTTACAAAGATGAAAGATCACTTCTTCCTCTGACAACAAGCTGTTTCAACTCGCTATTTGCATTTGAGGTTCGGTCCAACAGAATCGGTGATATGGACACCGAAACACATTGAAACATTATTTTACTGTAGAGGAGAACTTGACCTTTCTAACGATACCCTTTTTATGTCTCAACTCCCAAAGTTTGCGCAGAGCAGACCCTACTAAAAACATGATTGTGGAAAATGTAAGCTCAGTTTGCTGCTTGCGGTACGTACCTCTAGCAGCATTTTAGCCAAAGACTGTGCAAGCTGTCTAGTCTGTGTTGTATAAATGTGCAATGAGCATAAAAAGACACATTAAGGAATACGGTATGAAAGTGGTACTTCCTGTTGTCTCGTTTTGTAGGCTAAGAACGGGCTTCAAATTTGCATCGTCAAATTCATGAAAATGCAGTCATATAAGATATATATTCAAATGTAAGTGTTTCCAAGTGAATTAATTTACCATATGCCAGTTTAACGTATTTGACGGCCAAGAAATAGCACAAAGCCGATGTGCTTTTTCATTAGAACTACAACTCCCACCAGCTGTATATGTCTCCCTTTCGACACCTTGCCGGTCTACAAACAAACTAATCATTTTCAAAAAGTAGGCCTACTGGCTAGCCAAACGGCCTGTAACTAACAGGTTTTTACTGTCCTGCGAGTCCTCAACTTGAGCAGGCATGCTAACAAGGCTGCAGGAGTTATAGTTCAAATTAGACTTTTCTAACTTTCGGGCGATGTGTCTTACTTCTTGAGCGTAATAAAAGGCATTGAGTATGAGCAAATCAATACACGAATACATAATTATATATATTGTAAAAACGGCTAGCTGGAGCCGTCTGAGCGGTCGGTTATAATTGGTTCTGACTCACTACAGGCTGTCCGGCAAGAACAGCACGGATGCTTCTTAGTCCAGGACTTTTATCATCTTCACCACCACACACTATAGTATTCACACTCACACACAGAAATCTTCAGTTGACACAGGATGGACTTGTGGTTTTCTTGGATGAATTGTACCCACAATCTTCCTAAAATAAACACACAATTGGTAAAAACTCAACTCGTCGTGTTTGGAGGACAAAGAATGCTGAGTTGCATCCAAAGAACACCATACCTACTGTGAAGCATGGGGGTGGAAACATCATGCTTTGGGGCTATTTTTCTGCAAAGGGACCAGGACGACTGATCCGTGAAAAGGAAAGAATGAATGGGGCCATGTATCGTGAGATTTTGAGTGAAAACCTCATTCCATCAGCAAGGGCATTGAAGATGAAACGTGGCTGGGTCTTTCAGCATGACAATGATCCCAAACACACCGCCCGGGCAACGAAGGAGTGGCTTCGTAAGAAGCATTTCAAGGTCCTGGAGTGGCCTAGCCAGTCTCCAGATCTCAACCCCATAGAAAATCTTTGGAGGGAGTTGAAAGTCTGTGTTGCCCAGCGACAGCCCCAAAACATCACTGCTCTAGAGGAGATCTGCATGGAGGAATGGGCCAAAATACCAGCAACAGTGTGTGAAAACCTTGTGAAGACTTACAGAAAACGTCAATTGGTCGGCAGCCAAACTTGCGTCTTCATCTGCCGACAACGATAGCCACTCTGACCTGGAGTGGGAAGGGGTCAGAGTCCAAATGTGCATTCGGGCACTCTAATTGGTGTAAACCATGAGGCAGTGACAGACAGCTGAGAAGGGGAGAAATCACCCTGACGGGATTGTGGGGAGTCAGGTGCACAGACATGGCCTTTTTTACACACACACACACACGACCTTGTTTTCATACATTTGATTATACAAGCTTGAAACCCTTTCAAAAACACTGTACAGGGCTTGCGATAGGAGATAGTAAGTAGTAGTACTTTCATACCGTATTGGCAACTCGTTCTCATTCTGAGAAATAAGCATCTTCTTATCCATGTAGGTAGGCCACAAAGTGGACAGGCTTGCATTTTGTTCAAACAGTAGGAGACAGGAGGGTGTGTTCATAACAGTTAAACTGTTCTAACTTGTTAGCAAGCAAACAGATCCAAGATGGCTAGACTTTAAATATAAAGATTAGCCAACTAGTGGATGTGCATTGTGCATGGTTCTGGTTAACCTTTTTACAAAAATGACATTTTCATAGATAGACTTAAAAGCCTGATCAGTGATTATTGCAAAAAAGCAGGTTAACCTATTTTGATAAAATATCATAATTAGTGGGTTGTGGAAGGCTTACATTTAGCCTAGGTATAATTTTACAAGCCATGAATTCATTAGATTATTTCGGACTGTTTGAAATGCAGTATATTGAACTTTAAACTGTGCAACAAAGCTTGGAGAAAAATATATATTAGAAAAGTTAGAAAACAAATGAACATGATTTTTTGGCTATATCGCTCAACCCTACCTGAGAGCAGCAGAGAAATATCATTACTATCATTACAGAGAATACAATTGAAAGAGTTTAGTGGGTTACGTTTATGACTGACAATGTTTAAGAAATCACAAAGCACTCACATCTCTGAGGGACACTCTAGCAGGGTAGATGATATCGGAGCCATCCCGGCGGAACACAGGATGGGGTTTGTCTTTGACCACAAACACCACGTCAGCAGGAATGTTAGTGGGCGTCTCGTCTCCCTCCCTGGGGAAGGTGATCTTGGTCCCTTCCTTCCAGCCTCGCTTGATGTCCACTGTCAGGATCTTGTCCTCGCTGCGCATGCTGCAGCCGTCCGGGTTCAGTCGCTTACGGGAGATCTTCATCTTCTTGGTGCAGCCGGAGAACACCTCCTCCAGGCTCACCTTCAGCTCGTGCACCACCGGAGAATCTTTCTTCTTCTCCCGGCCCCCATGGGGACCCCCTGGCCGAGATTTGAAGGACCTCTGGTGTTGGTGGAACCCTCCCATTCCACCCGGCATGCCCCCCATCCCTCCCATACCGAATGCGGCAAAGGGGTCGTCAGTGTCCATGTCATCATCCCCGTTGCGTGCGAAGAACTGGTCGAATGGGCTGCGGCCGCCAAAGAACTCGGTAAACATGGCGTGAGGATCTCCATGGAAGGTGTAGTTGTAGTTGTTGGGGCCGTTGGGACCACCACCCCCGCCGGCTGTGGGCCCCTTTAGGCCTGGTAAGAGTGAACACAAGAACAAACATCAAAATTGTTATTTTAGAACAAGAACAAACATCAAATTTTATGAATCACTTATTCACAACATTTTACATTTTAGTCATTTAGCAGACGCTCTTATCCAGAGCGAGTTACAGTTAGTGAGTGCATACATTTTTTCACAACACACTTAACACTTCCAGACATACCATCTCTCTAAATAAATCATGCTAAAAGCTAATGATTAAGCATGCTACATTTCCACCTGTGTCTTCAGGGGTCACTGACAGAGAAGTGTTTTTAAAAAGGTGTTCTGCAATGTGTCACCGACCATGAGCGACGTGACAGGAGGAAGGAATTAACGTTGTGACGTGAACAAACTAGCCCCACTGACAGTTTCAACTCATAACAAGTAGGAAAGTTCCAGCAAGTTCTCGAGAGAACTGTAGCGCCTCTGACGCTCAGTCGCGTCCAAGATAATAACCACACTAGTTTATAGGGCTACAATCAAAGAAAAACACAAACAGTAACATTTAAGCAATAACGTTAGTTACAATCGTCCAAAACAAGGGCCACGGCTGATACAGCTAGTAATGTTACATAGCTGGCAAACCGGACAACGTCGATTGCGCAAACAGGTTGGGTTACAATGCACGACATGGAACCAAAAGTTGATGCGTTACCTTCTTCTCCATATCGGTCATATATATCCTTTTTCTTTGCGTCGCTGAGGACATCATAGGCTTCAGCGATCTCTTTGAATTTATCCTCAGCTCCAGTGGACTTGTTTTTATCGGGGTGATATCGCAGGGCCTGCTTTCGATACGCCTTCTTTATCTCGTCCTCAGAGGCGCCTTTCTGTATACCCAACACTTTATAATAGTCTTTACCCATTACAAGTATCCTCAAGTAACGCTTGATATTCAAAAAACCATCGTCAATTCACCAGTTAATCTTTTATCAGAATAAGGCTGTCAACCAGTAGCTAGCTAGCTACTTAGCCAGAGTTGACAGCTGCAAGTGCAGCCTACAAATCCGACCCTCCACGATTTTTTTACCTATCAAACTATGGAGTTGCATAAATATATCTCACTCTCTGCTGAATAAACCTATTTATGAGGCGAAATATCGTGGCTACTCAAAATACGCTTTTCACCATGTCGCTAGCTAGCCACCATGCAAGAAACTTCCAGAACTCGCCTAGTGGTGCTGATACTGCTGTGACTGAAATCTCCGCCCTTTGCTACGTCATGCTTTCAAAATGGTCTGTGCTTTCAGAATCCTTGGGACGTCCCTATGAAGTTGAAATGGTTAAGGTTAGGGTAGGCTCGTCGAGAACCAGGCGTGACAACTGGTTAGGGTTTATGGTAGGGACGTCCCAAGGATCCCGAAAAGCGCTGACCCTGTCCAAATCTAGACGAACTACGTCCCCACCACTTCTCTGCAGCAGTTGCTTGCACAGATAAAACGGGTTAAATTGCATGTTCAAGGATCGGCAACTGGCGGCCCAACAACATTTTGCTTAGTGCCCCCAAAAGGGTAGGGGCGGCTCTGACTGCATGTGTGGGTATGGATGTAAGTACACATACCCACGAGCCACTGCAGACCCTGATGAGTTCAGATTTTTTTGTGGCCCCCACCCCCATCAAAGTTGCTCATCCCTGTTGTAGATAATAATATCATCACATTGTGGGTATCTGTGCCAAAGCTTTATAAATTGTTTCATTAGCTAAAATAATATGAATGCATATTGTGACAAGACTATTGATATGTTGCATATCAAATGGCCACACGTTAGAACAAAATAATAGTGTTCCTCTTGCAATGCCTAATTACATATCCTACATATCTTTCATGATAAGGAAAGATATTGGTTTAAAATGACTACATGTCAGGACCTCTGGAAAATAAAGAAGAGTAACTTGCATAGTCAGTAAAGTGATAATGATGCTGACTACCACAGAGTGGCAGCATTGCAGCTTGTGGTTTAAATCACTGATACTGTAACATTATTCTCATGCTTCACTGGAGAGCCCCATAGTATGATAACCTGATATGCTCCAGTATCAGTTTGGATTCCAGGCTAATAATACGAGCCCACCCTACCATAAAATCTGTTGCTAATCACAACGTCCAACAAACCAAACTTGAACATGATGTTAAATTGAGATTATGAGAGAGCCATCTGTTTAAATCAATTGAATTTGCTGGCGGCAACATGATGAGACGGTCCAGCTTTTCCAACTCCTGTCCAGGTATTCCAACTCCTGTCCACTCCAACACAGAGTCTGCTTTTCTGCACATAATCAACAAAACCAGTAGTCCCCTTTGAACAAATCCTTGTTACCATGACAGCAGGTAACAGCTAATATGTCAATACATTTTCATCCATGCAGATACATCAAACAAGCTTACCGTGTTCTTGTACCTTTGTGTGCTCCTGTCTGATGTGTGTGGTCTAACCTGATTGTAAATATAGAATACAGATCTGCTGCCTGTGTGTGTTGACATGCTCCTTTTAGTCAAATATGAAGGACATGATCCCTCTGTCTGAAGGATATCTTGGGCAACATCTCCAAGCTCCGCAACTTACAGCCAGCACCTCACAGCTCTGATAGCACTACAGCTGACAGCTCTCACTCCATTGGAAAATTATAGGACAGTATTAGGCCTTAATGTTTGTTCAGGGTATGGGGAGAATACACACGCTCTAAAATAAACATGTGTTTGTTTTTGTTGGTTCTCGAGGTCAGAGTGGCAGAAAAAAGAAAAATGGCACAGGTGGCCTGGGGGAGGGGTAAGTGTTGGTATGCAGAGGTCTTGCTGTCCCTCATCCACATGGATCAGGCCCATAGGGGGGTCGGTGTGAGACAGTGTGACTGAGTGAGGAGCAGAGCTCAGCAGAGATGTGTCTTGGCTCTTCTGAGAGCAGAGAGGGATCTGTTTCTGAGTAGGGTTGTGTGTGGCTGACCAAGGTTACTGAGCTACTGCAGAGCAGAGCAGAGCAAATCGGGCATCTTATATTTAGCATTGCGACATGCACGCTACGGATTATGTCTTGGGTGTCTCGGGTTTCGCCTTCAGTACGTTTGTGGGTGTGGAGGGGGTCCGGTAACTGGTGGGAGGCCTCTCTTCAGGTGAGGAGGTGGTGGGTTACTGACGTTTAACCCCCTCTCATTCTACGAACATCTCACAGGCAAGCTCTTCCTCTCTGTCTCTCTCTCTCTCTCTCTCTCTCTCTCTCTCTCTCTCTCTCTCTCTCTCTCTCTCTCTCTCTCTCTCTCTCTCTTTCTCTCTCCCACCCTCTTGGTTTCTTTACCTCTTTACTTCTTTCTCACACCCTCACACAGGAAAAGGCTTTTTACGGTGACACAGTCGTTTCCCATTCTGGAAGGCTATTTGGAGGGTGCAGATAGTAAGACAAACAGTCGCAGAGCACATAGAGGACTAATCAGAGACAAGTAGAGAACACTAACTAGGTTTTTGCAAACCATTGGAGGGACCTCATTTTAGTGCGGAGGCACATTAAGGTCATAGTTCAAAAGGGGTCATGGATACACTGGCTTTAGAGGCGAAGTCAAATGGGCAAGAAAAGAAAAGTTCAGCCCAGAGACCAAGACCTAAACCACCCAAAAAGGCCAAAAGGATTGTTTACTTTGAGGTAGAAATCGTGGATGCAAAGACAAAGGAGAAGCTACTACTCTTGGACAAAGTGAGTGCCTGGAGTGTGTGTGTGTGTGCGCGAGCGTGTGTGTGTGGCTGTGTCACTGTGTCTCATCAGTCACTGTGCACGTTCAATACTGTATTTGATACTGTACACTGAGCAAAATTACATTTAAAAGTCAGAAATAATCAGCTGAGGTCTAATTATAGTCCTAGTAAAAGCCATAATACTGTCTGATGAAGTCAGAGGACACTTGTTTGCTTTAGCTCAAGAAGTTACCGAGTCATCCCTTTGACCGGACAGCCGGCTAATTTACAGTTCTCAGACAATATGGCTGATTCTACAGAGGTTGTGTTGCAGTTAGGAGGTGAAAATTCCCCCTGATCTTGTAGGAATCTTCTGGGCTAGTTATGAGTTATGTGTCAGCTCAGTGTCCTGAAGCCAGTGGGTGTCTTGAAGCCAACAGCAAGCACCATGTATTTAGTGGCTTTTATGAATGTGAGCGGTTGTGTTGCAATCATAATTAATTACGGTTGAAATGCTGTATCATAGTCTCACAATTACTTCAAGATCTTCATTATGAAAACAGATGCAGTTTCCTGTAACTGTAGGCTGTTTTAATTTGCTTGGCTGTCTTAACAGTGGGAATAAATATGTTAGTGTTATAGCATATGTACAGTATGTGGTATGGTACTAATTTCACAACTTGAAAACAAATATCAAACTTTAGTCAATAAATCTATCTGGGATACATTTATTAGACCCATGGTAGTAACACTAGTAGTATGTTTGATTGACTGTCTTTCTGAACAGGTTGAGCCAACTTCTACTATTTTGGATATTAAGGCTTTGTTCCACAAATCAAGTGAGTATATGACAAAGTCCAGGCCCACCTTAAGAGTGCGTGCACCACAAACATTAACATTTAAATTATAGTAATTTAGCAGACGCTCTTATCCAGATCCATTTTCAGTCATTGATGTAACAACATGAAATGTAAAACATTTTTGTAACATGATCTACTCTCTACACCAGGGATGGGCAACTTTGATGGGGGTGGGGGCCACAAAAAAATCTGAACTAATCATGAGGGGCCGCAGTTGCTCTTGACTGCGGAGAGAAAATCTTTAAGTTTTAGAGTTAGTTTCATGCAATTCTATACATTTTGTCATGGGGCATAACGGAAATGTTGCAGTTTTAAAGCAAGTTTGCTGCTATTATACACATTTTGCCATGGGGTGGAGAGGAACATTTGCCATTTTACAGCTAATTTCCTGCAATTCTACACATTTTGCTATAGGGTGGAGAGAAATGTTTGCATTTGTTTTTAATATGATATCTGAGTGAGACTGACTAACAAAATCAATTGATCCGCGGGCCTTCAAAAGGGGGACCAGTTGCCCATCCCTGCTCTACACGCTTAGAACAAAATGTGCTTTCTAGAATCTAAAAGGGTTCTTCGGCTGTCCCCATAGGAGAACCCTTTGAAGAACCCCTGTTAGTTCCATGTAGAACCCTTTTGGTTCCAAGTAGAACCGTTATGGGTTCCATGTAGAACCCTTTCCACAGAGGGTTCTACATGGATGGAACCCAAAATGGTTCTACCTGGAACCAAAAAGGGTTCTCCTATGGGAACAGCCGAAGAAGCCTTTTGGAACGCTTTTTTCTAAGTGTGTAGATATGTATGATCCATATACAATATGTCCTGATAATTATGAGGTTAATCTCGCAATGCCATCTTTCCAAGTCTCGTTAATTACTCGGCTACTGGAAGGAAGCCTAGAAATGGAGGCTATTATAAGCTTAATTAACTTCTGTCTTCTTGCCAGATCCCCAGTGGTACCCAGCCAGACAGTCCTTACGCCTGGATCCTAGTAAGCCCCACACCTCCCATGCATGATGCCTCAGCTACCTACACAGACTCATATGAGTGCTAGAAATTGCTATACCAAAACCGTATTAAGGTCTTATCTTCTGTGATATGGTCCGCAATGTCATGGCTGACTGTAGCATTGTGCTCTGTCTTGCTCCACAGAGGGTAAGGGTCTGAAGGATGAGGACATCTTGCAGACACTTCCTGTTGGAACCACGGCCAGCTTCTACTTCTCTGACCTGGGGGCCCAGATCGCCTGGGGCACTGTGAGCACATGCAAACACACACACACACGCGTGAATGCACGCACGCACGTACGCATGCACACAAACACACACACGAACGCACTTGCGCACACACACACACACATTCTACTGTATATCTTGACTCCTGCATTTAAATATACACAGCCACACTCCTTCAATTAATCAACTATAGCCTTGCATATAAATATACACCCACACTGACAGATAGATGCACTGTACTCTGGTTCGGTTTTCTCTCACCTCCTAGCTCCTCTATCTTCTGTCCTAGGACACATAATCTCATGGCCCTATTCCCCCCACAGGTGTTTATCCCCCTGACCTCCTTTTCACCCTCCACTGCCATAGCCTCCTCAACTATTCTCCACAACCAACCACATACTGTAACCACGCTCCATGTCCTCAATCCTCTCACCCCTTATCCACCCGTCTCTGAACCCCCAGTGGAATAGGGTGACGCCAGTGTTGGGGGGTAGCGGGGTCCAATGTCCTCCTTGCAGCCTGGCACCATAGCTGAGATCAACAGTAGCGATCAGTCACCCGTGCTGAGCCTGGACCCATGCCAGAGGTGTTGATTCATAGATCTGTTTCATCACAAACTGACTGTCAGCTAAGCTGCCCTATCTCTTGGGGAATGCTTGTGTTACATGCCAACTTGTTTTCTCTAATACTCTATTACAAATAATCTACTTGCCCTCCTCCCTAGGCACTCCTGTAGATCTGAATTGATCGGATAGCTTTAAGCAATATGATAAAACTTCCATCCAGCCTATCAGAACGCAAGGTGAAGCAAGTAGCACCTACCGATCCAATCAGCACCAACAGTGCCTTGCAAAAGTATTCATCCCCCTTGGCGTTTTTCCTATTTTGTTGCATTACAACCTGTAATTTAAATGGATTTTTATTTTTATTTCATGTAATGGACATACACAAAATAGTCCAAATTGGTCAAGTGAAATGAAAAACATAACTTGTTTCAAAAGATTCTAAAAAATAAATAATGGAAAAGTGGTGCGTGCATATGTATTCACCCCCTTTGCTATGAAGCCCCTAAATAAGATCTGGTGCAACCAATTACCTTCAGAAGTCACATAATTAGTTAAATAAAGTCCACCTGTGTGTAATTAAGTGTCACATGATCTGTCACATGATCTCAGTATATATACACCTGTTCTGAAAGTTCCCAGAGTCTGCAACACCACTAAGCAAGGGGCACCACCAAGCAAGGGGCACCACCAAGCAAGCGGCACCATGAAGACCAAGGAGCTCTCCAAACAGGTCAGGGACAAAGTTGTGGAGAAGTACAGATCAGGGTTGGGTTATAAAACAATATCCAAAACTTTCAACATCCCACAGAGCACCATTAAATCCATTATTAAAAAATGGAAAGAATATGGCAGGGCAACAAACCTGCCAAGAGAGGGCCGCCCATCGAAACTCACAGACCAGGCAAGGAGGGCATTAATCAGAGAGGCAACAAAGAGACCAAAGATAACCCTGAAGGTGCAAAGCTCCACAGCGGAGATTGGAGTATCTGTCCATAGGACCACTTTAAGCCATACACTCCACAGAGCTGGGCTTTACAGAAGAGTGGCCAGAAAAAAGCCATTGCTTAAAGAAAAAAATAAGCAAACACGTTTGGTGTTCGCCAAAAGGCATGTGGGAGACTCCCCAAACATATGGAAGAAGGTACTCTGGTCAGATGAGACTAAAATTGAGCTTTTTGGCCATAAAGGAAAACACTATGTCTGGCACAAACCCAACACCTCTCATCACCCCAAGAACACCACCCCCACAGTGAAGCATGGTGGTGGCAGCATCATGCTGTGGGGATGTTTTTCATCGGCAGGGACTGAGAAAACGGTCAGAATTGAAGGAATGATGAATGGCGCTAAATACAGGGAAATTCTTGAGGGAAACCTGTTTCAGTCTTCCAGAGATTTGAGACTGGGACGGAGGTTTACCTTCCAGCAGGACAATGACCCTAAGCATACTGCTAAAGCAACACTTGAGTGGTTTAAGGGGAAACATTTAAATGTCTTGGAATGGCCTTGTCAAAGCCCAGACCTCAATCCAATTGATCATCTGTGGTATGACTTAAAGATTGCTGTACACCAGCGGAACCCATCCAACTTGAAGAAGCAGTTTTGCCTTGAAGAATGGGCAAAAATCCCAGTGGCTAGATGTGTCAAGCTAATAGAGACATACCCCAAGAGACTTGGGTTGGGGTGAATAGTTATGCACGCTCAAGTTTTTAGTTTTTATGTCTTATTTCTTGTTTGTTTCACAATAAAAAATATTTTGCATCTTCAAAGTGGTAGGCATGTTGTGTAAATCAAATGATACAAACCCCCAAAAAATCCATTTTAATTCCAGGTTGTAAGGCAAGTCACTGTACATGTCTCACCTTTATGTCTTCCCCCCTCCTCAGGTCTTCCTATCAGAGTGTTACGGACCACTGCTCATCTACTTGATGTTCTACTTCCGCCTGCCTTTCATCTACGCCCCAAAGTATGACTTTAGCAGCAGCAAGCACTGGGTTGTACAGTGAGTGTCAAATTACTGCATTTTCAAGGATCTATTCTATCTCTGTCACTGTACCTCGCACTTTTAAATATTTCAGGCTCTCCAAGTGATGATTACAGTGACATAATTAGGTCAGGTTGACCGGTGATGGTGTTAACAGTGAAGATAATGTGTGTGCTGCATCAGAGAAGCATGACAGCCATCTTGGACTGTCATAGAGACCAGTGAATGAATGATGTAGTAATCAAAGCTAAATATGTGATGACAATAAGATGTAATCTATACTATGATAACTTTTCCCCTCCCTCTGCAGTTTGGCCTGCATGTGTCACTCCTTCCACTATGTGAAGAGAATCCTTGAGACGCTGTTCATCCACCGAATCTCCCACGGTACCATGCCACTGAGAAACATCTTCAAGGTGAGAAGATTGAATAAGGGCATCTTATTGTACTATTTCACTGTAGAGCCCCTAGTCCCGCTCAACCTGCCTCAGATAGCTCCTTTGTCCCACCCCCCATACACGCGGAGACCGGCTCAATCGGTACCTCCAGTGATGCTATCTCTTTCAGCGTTACCCAATGCTTAGGTGTACCTCCACTGTACTCATATCCTTCCATATCCTTGTCTGTACATAATGCCCTGAATCTATTCTACAACGCCCGGAAATCTGCCCCTTTTATTCTCTGTACCCAACGCACTAAAAGACCAGTTCTTAAAGCCTTTAGCCGTATCCTTATTATATTCCTCCTCTGTTCCTCTGGTGATGTAGAGGTTAACCCAGGCCCTGTAGCCCCCAGTATCACTCCTACTCCCCAGGCACTATCATTTGTTGACTTCTGTAACCATAAAAGCCTTGGTTTCTTGCATGTTAACATCAGAAGCCTCCTCCCCAAGTTTGAGTTATTCACTGCGTTAGCACACTCTGCCAACCCTGATGTTCTAGCAGTGTCTGAATCCTGGCTTAGGAAGGCCACCAAAAATTCAGAAATTTCCATCTCGAACTACAACATTTTCCATCTATATAGAACTGCCAAAGGGGGCGGAGTTGCAATCTACTGTAGAGATAGCCTGCAGAGCTCTATCATACTATCCAGGTCTGTGCCCAAACAGTTTGAGCTTGCCCCCCATCTATCCTCAGAGTTCGTACTTCTTGGTGACCTAAACTGGGATATGCTTAACACGCCGGCCGTCCTACAATCTAAACTAGATGCCCTCAATCTCAAACCAATTATCAAGGAACCTACCAGGTACAACCCTAAATCCATAAACATGGGCACCCTCATAGATATCATCCTGACTAATTTACCCTCTAAATACACCTCCGCTGTCTTCAACCAGGATTTCAGCGATCACTGCCTCATTGCCTGCGTCCGTAATGGGTCCGCGGTCAAACGACCACCCCTCATCACTGTCAAGCGCTCCCTAAAACACTTCAGCAAGCAGGCCTTTCTAATTTACCTGGCCCGGGTATCCTGGATGGATATTGACCTCATTCCGTCAGTAGAGGATGCCTGGATGTTCTTCAAAAGTGCTTTCCTCTCCATCTTAAATAAGCATGCCCCATTCAAAAAATTCAGAACTAAGAACAGATATAGCCCCTGGTTCACCTCAGACTTGACTGCCCTTGACCAGCACAAAAACATCCTGTGGCGTACTGCATTAGCATCGAACAGCCCCCACGACATGCAACTTTTCAGGGAAGTCAGGAACCAATATACACAATCAGTTAGGAAAGCAAAGGCTAGCTTTTTCAAACAGAAATTTGCATCCTGTAGCACTAACTCCAAAAAGTTTTGGGACACTGTAAAGCCCATGGAGACTAAGAGCTCCTCCTCCCAGCTACCCACTGCACTGAGGCTAGGAAACACTATCACCACTGATAAATCTACGATAATGGAGAATTTCAATAAGCATTTTGCTACGGCTGGCCATGCTTTCCACCTGGCTACCCCTACCCCGGCCACCAGCTCTGCACCCTCCGCTGCAACTTTCCCATGCCCCCCCCCCAATTCTCCTTCACCCAAATTCAGATAGCTGATGCCCTGAAAGAGCTGCAAAATCTGGACCCCTACAAATCAGCTGGGCTAGACAATCTGGACCCTTTCTTTGTAAAATGAGGCGCCGAAATTGTCGCAACCCCTATTACTAGCCTGTTCAACCTCTCTTTCGTATCGTCTGAGATCCCCAGAGATTGGAAAGCTGCTGCGGTCATCCCCCTCTTCAAAGGGGGTGACACTCTAGATCCAAACTGTGACAGACCTACTGTATATCCAT